GGCCGCGCGGAGGAGGGCGGGGCCACCGCCCCACAGAGGCTCCGCGCGCTGGAGGGGGGGGTCGGAGCGGGGGCCGGCGCCCGGCGCGGCGCAGCGCTCAGCACGAACACACGTAGCGCCTTTTGTATCTAAATCTTTATTAGAACAATCCCCAAGAGCTGTAAAACAGTGAAGTAACAACAAAATTAAACACTTCGGTTATCAAAGATATTTAAACAATACGTTCCCGTTTCTGCATAGCAGAAGCAAACAGGTTTTAGAGCTCAAAACTGTCGTGCTCATGTTAATTTGGTTTTGGCAAGATGATAATATAACCTCAATAATCACATTAATGAAACAGTAACCTCCCTTCCATTTCTTAAGCCTTAAAAGAGCCTGTCTTGTGATTTTACAACCCGTTATTTGGGACAAATACATGTGGACTTTTTGTAGCGTAGAGGAAACAGACAATTTTAATATTAGTAGCACTAGTGTTACTTAAACATGAAGAAACAGGTACCTTTCTAATTTGATTACAGAGCAGTACAAATAATGTATTACCTCAAAAATCATCGCCCGTATCAAAAGTTAAAAAAAGTAGAATAATTTATAAAACACTTCCAGAATAGCAAACGATCAGTCTTGAAATGGAGGATGAACTTTTCACTTATGAACACGCAAATAGACGCATTACAGTAATATACTATGTATTTGCCAGCTTTTTTCCTTCTGTTCTAAGTAGCAGGAGCCCAGCTCTCCCTGCAGTTACACAGGTACAAGACGTATGATCACTGCGACTGAAAGCAGAACAGGCCCTACGCAGAAGTTCACTATGCCATAAATTAAAGCTATAAAAAAATCCACTACTGAAAACGGAACAGTCTTGCATTGTTTTTATTTAATTATTTGCAACACCACAATTGTCATGATGTGTTTTCTCCTGGACCAGAGAGTCTACTTTCACGATCTGACAACAGCAACGGGGAAATTGGTGTGTGCTGCATCACGCAGCTCGAATACATCTGACATCTTGTCTGCCATTCATTTTATATCAGTTAATTTGAAATAGAGAGAGTACTGTTTTTCCTATCTAGCCTTTTCTGTTTTGTCGCCTACATGGTGTGAATAAACTTCAAAATATAAGCCAGGTAAAATAATAGCCAGTAAGGCACTTTGTCAGAGAGGACACAGCTGTCCAGGCTGAGCAACTGGTCGAAGGGAGACATTCTATGTTACTGAAAACAGTCAGTCTATTCTTCATAATCGCTTCTCTGACAACCCATTTGCAGAAGAATACTTACTGACTGTCCCAGAATCAGCTTGACATTGCGTCCGCCAAAATATTTTTTCCTGTTCTACAGCAGAACATGCAACAGTAAAATATTTCATACTGTTAAATACTAATGTTTGAAAGACTATTCAGCACCCTTGCAATGCCCAAGAATCAGCTGCTGAATACTACTTGGAAAAAAACCCAAACCCTCAGCATAAGAAATGATCCCATTTTTCTTGTTACCTTGTTTTCTTTCTGGGGTCACATTTTTCTTTTCTTTTTTTTTTTTTTTTTTTTTTTTTTACAAAATTTGAAGGCTTGACATTAAAACTTTGGTATAAAACATGTAAATGAAAGCCATCCATCAATATGTTGTGGGGAGACACAATGAATCCAACCAGAACTAAACCAAACATGATTGCATGGATATGCTAGCAGGTGTTTTCTACTGTCTCTAGGTTTCTACATTCTGCTTGTCCCAGATCCTGAAAAGAGTTCTTCCTATTCACGTAAAAGGGTCTTTCTGCAGAGCCACCCTGCCTTGCCTGGAGAGGAGGCGCCCAGCCAAGGACCAGGCAGGACAACGACAGGCTCCCGCCGGGTTTTCCCCTTGAACATCTCCTCCTCTACTGCACTGTGAGCGTGGAGCAACCGCCAGCCTTCTGCCACCTTTGTCACAGGGCTGGCCTGCACCTCATGGAATGGGTGGGCATTTTATCACAGACTCCCGTGGGCTCAGGAGCAAAGCACATATGACATATTTTACCGTGTTATAGATAGCCACATGTTCCACTCTCTAAAGTCAAGAATGGAATTTTGCATTTCGTACTAAGTCAAGGAACAAAGTAAACGTCCAAATCCATAAATGTCACTACTAGTACCTCCTCTGTGGTGTAAGTCTGCAGACTCTGGCCCACAGGATTAGTTAGGAACCAGTATAATAAGTTAGTCTTAAAATATGTTAAGTGATTCTTTCCCAAGTAAATACTTGCATTAATTTCTACTTAATTAATTAATAGCAATTTATATTTTAAAAGCCAATTTTAATATTAAATCATTATGATTTATTTATTCAATTTACTGATTACAAAATCTACATGGTATTGCTTTGTATTTTCACAGTTCTCATAATTAAGAAAATGGCTTTTAAATTTTCTTCTCAGAAATGATAATCACTTACATTCTAAATAATTTCACAAAATAGTGGAGTAAATTTATACATATATATATTTTTACTGTATATAAATAATAATACAATTTTAAACTTTCACTTTTAGAAATTCCTTTAGTAAATGCATAGGTTTGTTACAAAAGTCTTCTAATCAAATAACTGTATATTATTTCTATTATGTTTTATTCCTAGTAAACTCTATGGTTACATTCATATGATAAAAAAAGCACGCTGTATTCAGAAATACACTTTTTCAGTTGAGCTCCCAGTAAGACACTCAAGTCCAGTAGAAATATAGATTACTTAATGTTTCTTTAGCTGCAAACTAAACACACAGTAGTATTATTAAAAAAAAAAAAAAAAAGCTTTAGCACATGGACTGTAATCAGACCAGCAGCTTTTTTAATCACAGAATGGTGACACATACCCCAAAAAGTTACTGACTTAATTCCCAGAAGAGACTGGATTAATGGGATTGTATATTCAATGCCATGCACATAATGAGAAAGGAATGATGATGATGATGAAAACCTTCATCAGTAAAGAGTCTGATTTTTTCTGAAGGTAGGTTTCTCAGCCCTTTCTGAAAGTCAGGTTTACTCTAGGGTATCTCAAGAGGGGTTATCAAAAACTGAAGGTGCCCACAATCAGTAGTTACGTTTGAAACTGTACGCCTTTATTCTACATTGAGTCCTAAACTGAACCACTCGTTTCTGCTTCAGGGGGAAGCGCTACAATGCCCGCTGGATTAGAGAGAATGCATATGAGTATCCTGTCACTTGCACCTCAGTTCACAGGATTTCAAGATCCTACCGTGGCCATGACTCCAATCACGTAACCACGTGAGCATCAACATGACCCCAGACCCGTTGCAGGAAGGACAGTATTTCTGCCTTTGTAGCAATTACAATCATCACAAACTGGAGCCAGAAGTTAGAGAGCAAAATCACTTTGGGATGTGGATCATCAGAAAATTTTGCCCAGAAACTTGCATTCAAACCATCTGGAAAAGAATTTGCCTTTCTCTTTGTGACACCAATGGACTCCTAGGGCTAGAAAAGTATGTCCAGACACTGAACTCCTGTAACAGATCTGGCAGAGGTATGGCACGTGCCACTCCTGGAAAGCAGACAGTAATGGAATACCTTATTCAGTACGGTGGAATCCATGAAAACTAGGGGCAGGCCTCAGTGTGGTTGGGTCCTTGGGCATCCACAAGACTAACAAATTAAAACCTTTTCAGCTCAGCTCATGGCAGTAACAGACTTGAGAAGTACTCCAGTGTAAGACTTTTTCCATGAGCAGGGCTGTTTACTAACCTCAGTGACAGTTCTATTAACGGTGGGGGAGGGGGTCATAAAATTGAACAGAATGTTAATGTGCTTTCTACCAACAGATTTTGTACTAATGACCAGGCAAATTTAATAATCGAAAGGCAAACTAACCCTTTTGGACCATCTTTCAGTAGCTAAATTATTCATCCTGTATCACGAGGAGACTCAAGTTCAATGTCTTAACACCTTACTGTGTGAGCCACTGAGATCCTGGAGACCTGCAGAGAGAGCACACCCAGCACTCAGCACCCGCACAGTCATTGCAATGTCTCGTTAAGAAGCTAGGCAGAGGCAATGGAATTCCTCATGCACACATATGGCCAAGACTTTCTTCCAAGAAAAAAGAGACTGCATTTGGTTTTCCTTTCAGTGAAGCTCAACTTCCTCATAATGTAGAACACAACTGGAGGCTCATTAGAGATAGGAGGATATTAACACAAGTGCATCTTTCTTGGACATTGGCTAAAAATGATACATTCACCATCTTGTACCGGATGAAACTTCATTTGTGTGAACCACAAATCATTTCAAGTGCAGTGGAACCTTCTCTCAGTTATATCATCTTTTAAGCACAACTCACAGAAAACTTCACTTTAAGCAGTATCAACTATAGTCTTCTCTGACTACCTTCTTTGGGACCTGCAGGGTACCATCATTTCTTAAAAAAGACGCAGTTGTGGATGTGATTAAAATATCACTACATTTTTCAGTGTAGGGAATCATTAATGCATGTATAATCACAGTTTAAATAGCTGTGTACCAGCTTGTACAAAAAAATACAATCATAGCACCGTATTTACAGATTTAGTACCATCTCCTGGTTAACTAGAGAGTCTCAAACTATCTTTTTATGGCTAATTAGGTTATATGTTAGTGCTTTCAAAAAATTGCCTGAATTTCTTTTACAAATATACACTTATAAAAAGAAACATTATCAAAACTGCTGTCATCTAAGGCAGCAACTTGTGTTACAAAAGTTATTAAAACATCATTATAGACTTAAAAAAGCTTCAAATTTACAATTTCCTTTTCATAGGCACTCTATAAACTAAAACGTGGCCTTGTTTTCACAGCTGTTAGTTAAGCATTTAAACTAGTTAAATGTTACCAATGTTGCTCATTTTTTTTAGATATAAGCAAAAGGAAAAAAGAATCACCCATTTACCAGAAGCATCATTTACAGTTTTTACTTTTGCCTACTTTATACACGTTTTGCTTAAAAGTGACACTGTTTTGATGTTGAGGTTTAGTGTATGTTATCCCACTGCCTTCTTCGGGCTTAGTTCCTTCTTCCCTAGAATTCGGTGAAGGCTAGCTGACATGAAGTAGGGTTTTGCTGTAGATCCATCATTTCTTTCCAGGTCTTCACCTGAATTTACACAGCAAAAGCAGCCAAAAGAGCAAACAGCAGTACAACCACACACACACACACACAGAATTGAAGAAAGGAGAGAGCAAAAGACCCAAGATTAAAAAAAAAAAAACCTCAATCAAGGCCAATTTAGCTGTATTGTTAAGTTGAAGGACACTATAAAACTTCTATTTTCTCAAACCAGAAGAGGTTTTACACAAAGCAGAGACATAAACATCTAGCCATTTTTAAATGATGGCAATATATACTTTCTATTCTCTTGTTCTTTGGTTTGGCAGTATAGGTGGAAATTTTCAGAAATACTTATGCCTCCACTGAAGCCTGGCATTTTGGCTACTTCCTGCTAGAAAATTTGTCCCAAAGAGAGCTGTGGATTTAAGCACTTTTTAAAACCAGACCCTTTTTTACTGCGTAAGATAAAGTTCTTTTGAAAACCTGATGCCACAAGTGCACAATATTCTGTATGATCTCCTACTGTCCATTACTGAATGGAAGCATAGGAAGCAAAACAGAATATGAATTTAAAATAATGAGGCAGACACAGTACTTTTTTTCCTACAGAAGGTCACGACTAAAATCACTGGTCTGGCTTCAGCCCAGTGTTTATGCCATGCAGTAGTCACAGACCAGTGATGGACAATCTGGAGGGAGTGTGCAGTGAAGCAGTCACTGCAACTGCAACGCTGCAGACAGTTGTATCTGCAAAGCCAAAAGAGAGCACTAGTTGTAAGAAGTGGCCAAAGAAGTTAGAATAAGCAAATCTTCATATATCTCCATGGCAGTATGTACCACGTAGCTTTGGAATAAATTAAAAAGAAAATCTGTTAATTTTTGAGTGCACCAACAAACCTTCTAAATTTTATTAGTTTGATCAATTTCCATTTCACTCTAAATAATAGTAATCATTATTTTTTTATTTATGATTTAGCTTATTTCTTATTAGTGCTACGTCTGCCTGTGATCATGTTTGTTTAGAACCAAAGTCCGTAACTGGAGATTAACAGGATGTAGCTCTCAACTAGACATCAATTTTCAGTTTTCTGACTGATCTTGTTCCTGTGATTCTTTGGCAACCCAGTATTTCCAGAACCACTGCTAACCTTAGTTCCTAGGGAAGCAGGGTTAAGAAGGTGAGTGTTCAAAGGAAAGAAAGAATTTATGCTATTGTAAGAGGAGAATCAGTATTACCATGTTTATCTTGCCTCAGTGATCCACTGTGCATATGATAGATCAAGCTTATGACTATTTCAGTATTCCCTTAGTATTATCAAATAATTCACCAACTGCAAGAACAGTCGCTGCCATGTAACTTCTCGTAGGACCAACCAGAATGACTTTCATTATAGAAAAGTTGTATCTATTTCTTGAATTCAGTAAATCTAGCAAATGGAATGTATTTTGGAGTAAGTACATCCTCTTCTTATAATCATGTCCTAATTTGAGACCAACAGATTTCTTTTGTCATTTTAGTATTCTCTGACTGGACACACTGAACAGCAGTCCCTTTGAGAGTGCCCGTGATTGCTTGCTGTTGGGGGGTCCAAAGGACAGATAGTGTTTTAAATGGTATTTTACACCAATTTGAAGGTAATTCAGCATAATACTTTGTTCAGGACTATTAAGTTGAAAACAAAGGACTGCCTATATACCAAAGAAAAACCTTGTTATTAACAAAAGGTTTGAGTGAATCACTGCTGTAAAGGGCTCTTTACAAAGTACCCAGAAGCAAACTGTTAATTAAAGTTCTGAAAAACAAAAGCCAGATACCCCCATGAGCCACATAGCTACCTTCCATTACTTCAACTAATTAAATTTGAATGCTAAAACACTTCTGCACTGAAGAATGCATCAAGGAGCCAGGCTGAAAAGCAGAATCAGTTTGTTTTTCACACAGTCTGCTAGCATGTCACCAGGATTCTGTAATGAAGGGATAAGGTGGTTTTCTACTCCTCTTCCCATGACTTGCAGGTTATTAGCGAAAGAAAATGTAGTACTTACAAAAGCAGAGGAAAAGCGTGTCGACACACATTGCATAGACGCTGAAGAACCCATGTGCAACTAAGTAGGAGCCAATAATGACCGTCTACAAAAAACAAACCACAAGAAAACCCCAAATTTAGTTTGGCACTGATGTCAGGCAGTGTTAAAACAACTCAGAAGTCTAGTCTGCTAAGCATATTTGGGAGGATTTAATGGCAGCTCTATAATTCTACCAAAGGTTACTACTGCTGTGGAAAAGGATCACAGGTTCAAGACACCGTATCCTAACATGCAGTTCCTAACATTTCCAGCTGCCAGACTGGAGCCATTTCAACCCCCAAAGAGAATATACACCAAGAATATTCTGAACTCCTTCAAGATTACTCTAAAGAACCACTCATCCTAGAGGTGTTCTGGAGTCTAGGGAGGCTACAAAAGGAGAAATAGATGCATCACAAGTCCCTTCCGTTAGAAGCCACACTGTCATCGGTGCCTCACCACCACTCTTTGCTGCCTGGGAAGTCTGAGCAAAGCAGATGTGAAACCTTTTTCAGTTTTTCTGAAGGTGCAGAGTCACTGCAGTGTCACCTCTGCCTGAAGGATCCAGAGGGCTAGAGTGTAAGCAGATTCAATGGATAGTGTGCCACTGAGAGGATGACAACAAGAGCTGTTACCAGACCATGCCTTGAGTAGTCTGAGCACCTCAAACTGCCCTCAGTGTTCAGGAGATTAGAAGGTTGTCTTACCAACAATGGCACCCAGTAGTAATTTAACGTTGGTGCTTCCTGTGCAAAGACTGGTATTCTCTGTGTGAAGAAAAAGAAAGCAAGAACACCTGCAAGAAGCACAGAAGATTAGTGATTCCTACACTAACTGATTTCCTAACGCCTAAAGAATGGATGAGACAAAACAAAGACAACAGATCCCAGGTTGGTTTAAATAAGTTTGTAAACAATAAATTCCTCAGTACTAATTATCTGCTGGATCTGTATTCTGACAGAAGAGATATGTAAATTAATCAATTACCATAAAGATATTCATGGGCGCAGAAAGACTTTAATGAATTGTTTTGTTTCATCATTCTACTGGATTTAATAGCAAAAGTAATTAACAATTATAAACAAGACAATGACATGGGATAAAAAAGACCATTGGGTGGATCTTTTCTAAAATAAAAAAAGAGTGAGAAAAATTCTGCTGCTTTAAATTTTATTGCTTGAAGAAATACTTAACTATTTTAGATTAAAAGGAGAAATGGCAGTGCTAGTAATAAGCATGACAATAAGTTTAGAACAGACCAATGCATCTACAATAGAAATCACCCAAAGAATTTCTTCTCAAAGAGGACACACACATTAATTAATTTCAGTATTTCACGGCTTACATTTCAGAGAATATGTTTCAAATCAAATTTGCTACCCCAGTTTGAAAGTCATTCTACAGTAATGACAAAATATTTTAGATCTGTTCTTGGTATTAATTTTCAACTTTTGATTAAAATACAATTCATTAGTAATCTTTTAAAGTATACAGAATACAAAATAAGGTTATTTGTAAAATAATGGTTTGAAACTGCTGTGACCATTTAGAAAAACCGTAAGGGAGTACTGCCAACTTGAATTTCTGAAAGTGCTTAATTTAAAAAAAAAAAAAATCACTTTTCTGTCACAGAAGAACATGAATAAGATATTTTGATATTTACCAATAACTAAGAAAACCCTGTAAGGATGTTAGAAATACAGAATATTTCTTTTACGATAGCTTATAGCTATAATGGGCTTGAATACAGCAGAGCTTCAGGCCCATCTCCTGCAGACCTGCACCACCACCTCTTGTATGCATGCTGTCTGCTACCAGGTGAATCTCATTTGCAATTTTGTTCAGTTCTTATGAAAGGTGAACCAATTGTGGCTGACTTTTTGGGTGTGAACTTGGTTTGATCTAGCTATGATGCTTTGGCTGCAGAAGTCCTTGTGCCAGCAACACATGCAAGAGCAGTAAAAGCAATTATGGAAAAGATGCTGTCAACAACACACCAGGGTGCAAGGAGGAAGGGGAAAAAAAGAAAAAAACGTGGTTTAGTTCAATCTTGCAAAGCCTAGAAACACAGGAACAGCTTCTGAAATAGTCAGACCAATGAGAACCTCCAGCTGTTAACTAAGCATATATGAATATGGCAGGCATACTTGTAGATACCAGATAATAGAACATAGCATTTGGAAAAAATTGATTAGCTTACCTACACCACCAGCAACGAGAATTTTCCCCAGGAATAAAAGAAAGTCTGTAACTTTGTCCAGAACTGCAACTCTGTTCAGCAAGGGACAAATGATACATCATCATCACAAACCAGACATTTGTATTCTTTCTCCTTAAAGCTATGGATAATTGACAAAACATGACCAAGAAGCTGTATTCTGCTGGTTTCGCAGGCTGACATACAACAATGCAGCAATGCAACACTGAGATGAGCTTTGTTACAGCCTAATCCCGTGAGGCAAAAAAGCACTGAGCCTCTTGTTGAGTTAGGCCTTAATGCAGTAATACTGCTACAGTACTTGAAGACTGTTTATTGCTCCTGCTGGTTAAAAAAACCCAAAACATAACATCAAAGTATTTTTATTCCAGCCTTTCTTCTAGGGTCACAGATAAGCCAGCCTGGAAGAGGCAAAGTACACACCAAAACAAAAAGCAATGTTTGTGTAGATTGCTGATAGGTCTTCTCTTCACTTCGTCCTATCTGGCCTCATTTCATGACCCCATAACATGCCAAATCTACTATTTTAAGATATCACGGTACAACACTGAAGGCAGGAGTCCTCAAAGCAGGCAGACAATCAATCACAGATGAATGAATGAAGGTAGACAGAAAAATTGACAGTAAATCTGCAGCCCTCATTGAAAGCAACAGCAGGAAGTTTCTGCTTGAAATCCTGCCAGCCTGTCATATCAGAAACTGCAGGTAAAAAATGGGATGGAAAATGAGCTTTGTATCATCTGCCTCTTGACAGCACTGAAGGCTATGGATATGGTAATATATAGCACTGACTACCATGAAAAATAAACATTAAGACATATTAAACAGAACAAATCATCATTAACCTGTCAGAATTCAGAATTAGCAAAATATACAAGATAAAAAAATCTCCACTTGAAACAATAAAATTATATGTTTGGCTTTTAGCTTTGCTCTTAATCAGTAAGAGCAAAAGCACAAAGGACAGTGAGGTGATGTTCTGAAAGGAAATGAAGGCAGCTTCTCTTTCCTATTGCACAGGCACAGGTGTGGACACCACCGTACCGGTATTAATGCAGGGTAACAGAGTGAATGTACTCCATTCTCCCATCTCCAATCCTTTCCTATTCTTTCTTAAGCATCATTTCCATTTTCCTCTTTCAGCCTTCCCCTCCATTCCTCTCCTCCTCCCAGTCCTTCACTTAATAATTTAAACCACCTAACCAGTTTTACTGTGTCTCTTGTTTGGTAATTAGATTGTCTGCTATTGCATCAACACGGCCTGCTCCTAAGTTATTCTCACATTATTTTTTGATCTCACAGTAGTACAGGAAGAGCCAGGAACAATGAAGAAAACTACTGATGAGAACAGGGAGTTTGGCAGCAGTCTTGGTAGTGGGAAAAAAGGGGGGGGGGGGGGGGGCGGAATTCCCAGCACCAGGGGAGATCTGGTTATGTTCAAGTTACTGGTTTTGAAAGCAAAGTACTCTCTCTTCTCTACTGCCACTCTCTGACACCCCATAAGCTTTCTGGATGAATCTGAAGACTTAGGTCTTTCTGCTTTCCTTTTCACAGACAGTGAGTGGACCAAAGCTCAAGAAACACACATACAGCAGATCATGAGCACCCCATTCCTGTATATCCATAGATCTCCTCTCAGGGGCTCCACTGGTTCCTTGGAGGCACTATTACAACCTACTGGGTGCTTATGAATTTAAAAGAACAATCACAACAAAACTGTTAGATTATATCAACTTTGCATAGGTTACTGTGCTGGACAGCCTGCTGTTACACAATGACTGTTAGAAGTGAGGGCCATGTCTGAGGACAGAAGCAGCTTACAATAATATTTGGAGGAGACACGGGAGAGGAAAGAAGTATGTCTTCAGAGTGCAAGAGCAGGAAATCTTGACATTTCCAAGGACTGGGAGATGGCCCCTTACCTCACCACATTCCGCATAAGCAAAAAGAATGCTTCCTTTGCCGAGGTGCAGAAGTTTTTACCATATATGGCAATCTGCAAAATAATAGTAGCTGTTACGTATTTTAAATAATTAGGATACCTCCTTGTATGCCAGAATCTTACTGCATGTAATGCATAGTTCTCTCTAATATGTGGCCTTGAAACTCAGATGAACATGAAGCACTGCCCCCAGTCACCTGTTGCCTCTCAATGCTTCCCACCATGCTGGGACAGAATATTATCCATCTTTCCTCTTCAAATCACCTGGTGATGAGCATGCCACCCGTTGTGATCTTGGAGGCAGTAGACTGACTACTTAGTTTGACAAGTAGAGCAAATAAGCTACTTGCTGAGGCATTCTTCTCACTTTCCTAGTTACCTACACTAGATTAATAGTCAGTGGAAAGGAACAGGCACTTGTAGAGCAGAAGTGAGTTGACTCCTGTAGGTATGTCCTTGGACCTGATGCTGCTCTCAGTTAAGAAGAAATCAGCAATACCAGTATCAAAAGTCAGTGGATTTACATCCACATAAAGTAAAGCAGCTAAAGTTATTCAGGAACAAAACCATTTCTTCTTCCCAGAATAGTGTCCACAAGTCTAAGATATACTAGAACAGCAGTCAGTTTACCAACTAAACAAGATAGTAAAAAAGAATACTTCCTCTTCAAGATGGCATTAATTTGAAACATCAATTGCATGAACATGGATTATAACAGACCCATTACAGCCACCTCCTTTGAGACAACAAGTCCGTGACTGTACCATTCAATCACTGAAATTGCTTCAAGTCGGAACATTCTAGGCTGAAATCTATATATGTTTATTTAGGTGAAAATCTGGAATTTCTCTTCTGGAAGCTAAGAAGGGTTATTTCAGAGAAATATTACTGCTGCTGCTAGTAGAAGTTGTGCCTTTAACTTCCAGGACGAAATACAGATACCACATGCCTTCTGACCTCCTTATTCAAACACTGTTTCCAAACAGAAGTGTCATCAACATGGAGTATGAAACAAGCTAATATTCCTGTTGAAATCAGGATTTCAATTGCTGAATCAGAGGGGAAGTTAACCAGTTATGCCATCCCTTCCCACTTACTTTGAGGGGTTAGATAGACAGACAAGGACAGGCATGAAAAGAGGGTGAGTTTAGAAGAAAAAAAAAGAGATCTTACTTTTTCATGGTAGGACCACATGCATTTCCTGAAAACTCCCACAAATCCCATTATTTATTCACCAGACTCTAGTACTGCTGGCTGCTGACCAACCAGTAGTGGCTAGGGTATTTTAGTGTCCCAGATAGGGGAGACCACATGCAGAGACAGCACATACCATGATGTAGGCATTTCTGTTTATAAATTTTAAGAATCTTTCCAAACACCAGAAACAGCATTTGAGGCAGCAGAGTAGAAATCTAGTGAAGGAGTTCTGTGTACCTGAAAAAAAGGAGAGAGTGCATCATACACAGAACTCATGAACAGTCTTCAGAACATCGAAAGCTATTCAGAAGAAAATCTTAAATTGTGACAAAAGCAGAAACTATTTCTCTTCTTCTAGCTATGGACTCTCTTTCTCAACCAAATTTAGCTCACTAGCTTTCATAGATCAGATCCACACCCCACATGAACTTTGCATTAAGTTCCCAAGGACATAATAGACTCAATTTGAGTAAATCAGCACAAATTCACTGGCTGCAAATGGAACTACAATGGCTAAAAATAATGTGGAATTAATCTCTTCTAATTGGTGAAAAAACATCTTGGGAAAGTAAGGAAGTAATTTACCAAAGGAGGTCTTAATAACCTAGAGCAGATTCATAAATCTCACCTTTCAGTTTGTGATCCAAGTACTCCAGTATTACTCTAATAAGCTGGACAATTGCAAGAATTAAGGCTCCAAATGCCAGCGAACCTGTATGGTATCTAAAACAAAATAAATGACTGTTATGTTGCATGTATGTGTATATGTACAATTATATATGTATGTGCATGTGTGTGTGTGTGTGTATATATATAAATCAAATTATAACTGGAGAAAGGTCCATTAGTGGGAATTACATATATTAATGGACTTTCATCCTGATCTGTCAGAGAGAGGAACAGGATGAAGCCATTGGTGCTGTTGGTGTTTGTGTGAGTGCTGTGTGTGTCTGCCTGTCAATCCGTGTGGCCAGCTGTGTATATATGTGTTGTATACATGTATTTGGGTGTGTGCACCTACTGGGAGTACCTACTCAGCCTTGTAATTGGTTGAACCTGGGGGCATGAAGCTGCAGCAGCCTTGCCGCTATTGGGCTACCGGATTCAGTCTCCCCCTAACAATAACATTTTCCTGATTGTACTGGTTTTGGATGGGCTAGAGTTAGTTTTCTTTCATAGTAGTTTGTAGGGTGCTATGTTTTTCATTTGTGATGAAAACAGTGTTGATAACACACCAATGTTTTAGCTATTGCTGAGCAGTGTCAAGGCCTTTTCTGCTTCTGACCCCACCCCACCAGCGAGCAGGCTGGGGGTGCACAAGAAGTTGGGAGGGGACACAGACAGGACAGCTGACCCCAACTGACCCAAGGGATGTCCCATACCACATGGTGTCATGCTCAGCAATAACAGCTGGGGGGAAGGAGGAGGAAGAGGGGGACTATTGGAGTTATAGCATTCGTCTTCCCAAGTTATTGCTACGCGTGATGAAGCCCTGCTGTCCTGGAGATGGCTGAACATCTGCCTGCCCATCGTAACTAGTGAATGAATTCCTTACTTTGCTTTGCTTGGGTACACAGCTTTGCTTTACCTATTAAACTTGTCTTTATCTCAACCCACAAGTTTTCGCACTTTCACCTCCCCCATCCCATTGGGGGGGAGTCAGCGAGTGGCTGGGTGGGACTTGGCTGCCTACCAAGATTAAATCACAATGCTGACTGATCTTTTTCATTTGATATTCCAAGTCTGGCTTCCCTAGATGTAAAAAGAGCACTTGTTGGATACATGACAAGGCTCACATCCAGCTCCACAGTCTTACCGTATGGCTCGTCCAAATGAAGAGAAGAGTGGCCACAGTGGAATATCAGCTGGTTTCCGAGAAGCCCAGTAATAAGAGGCAAAGGCACCAGCAAGGGTACACTGACCCAGTGCAATTGCAAAGTTCACCAGCCACAGAAAGACAAAGGCATTGGCTAACTGGAAGATGAAGATGTACTTATGGTACAGGCTTTCTCCCCCATAAAAAGCAAAAGTACACTGAGCACCCGGACACAATTTAGTCACATTGGTTGTGTTAAAAGTCTGTAAAGAAAGAAAAATAAACGTAATGATAAGCAATGAATTCTGTGTACACAGTCTCTGAAGTTTAGCAGCTTAATACAAACAACATAATTCTGATTGATGTTTCATTACTTCATTCAACACTGCACTCCACTCCAGTACTATGTAACCTGTTTAGGTATTAAGGATTCATATTAATGTCTTATGCAGGTGCTTAACTTTAAACTATGCAGTTAGAAAACAGGGCTGTTCACCACGTGCCTGAAACCCACATAGATGGAATTTGAATTTCAGAAATCTACTTTTAAGGTACATAAACACTTCAGTTTCGTTAAAGAAAACCTGCTCACATAAAAAATAAATAAATATTTACTTGAAAACCAGAGGCCAAATCTGCAGTTTGGATAAATCACCACAGTAGAACTGAAATCAACTGACCTATGCCATTTTATACAAGCTGTGGATGTGGTCACAACTTCCCTTACCTATCGCAGAGTATTAAAACAGGAGTAGTCTTTACATTGAATTACTTCTCCCTATTTCTGTTGTTCATTTCATGTGTTTGCTCAGTTTGGGAATGAAATAAACCCAGTCAATTTCTAATCCCTTTCTTTTTTAGTGTTCAGACAGCAGCAGGGTGGGGAATTGTTTGGGATATACATAACCACAGCAGTACATTGAAATTTAAACACCTGAAAATAACCCTGATACAACATTTGATAAATATTTCTAGTTTTGAAAAAATACTTAAATTCAACCCTACAGTCAAGTCAAAACATTTGACTGAAGACAAAATTTAAAAAAAAAGACATATTTTTGGAGCTTCATAAAGGTCATTGCTGTGCCAAAAGAAGCTAAGCCTCTGCTTCAAAACATGGCTGGTCCTTGGACAAGTTTGAGGCATAGCTTTCTAAGCCTTCCATTGCCTTTTGAGGACCACAAATTAGAATCCTCATGAATTCAAGAACACCCTTCCAAATAAACCTGTATTTCTATGTCTTCCTTTCTCACTCTGTAAATTAGAACAGTTAATATTTACCTGCCTCACAGGACAGTTTAGCAGAAAAAATAATGTATGTCTATAAATTGCTTTGAACAAAGAAATGTTATCTGAACACTATTTTCAGATTTAACATGAGGAATCATTACTTAAAATATGCACATTTTCTACTAGCACTGCATTTAACAGTGATTAAGAAATGCAATTAATATAGATCTTACTATAGGTAAATATTTGTTACACTTACCTCTGGGTCACAAGTCAGGTTTGCATACTTGCACAGTGTTTGATTAGCCATTACTTTATACACAGGTTCTCCTGATGTAGCCAGAAAACTGAATGAAATATTTTAAGGACAAATCACAGAACTGTAGGCTTTGAGCAACTTAGGATTCTGCAGTGGGTAACCACGAGCTCTAAAGAACTTGTGCAGATAACAGAAAAACTGCTCTTGCTATGCAGAGACACGTATGAAGGATTGATAGACAAGACTGAATACTCTTAATTACTTAGAGAATTAAGGCAAACTCCATCCTGGAGCTGTAATAACCCTTGACCAGAATGGGCAAGGGGAATAACCTTGAAAGTTGACTCAGTCTCTCCTGCACATCTACCTTTGACGAGGCAGATTATGCATTAGTTCTTTGACAGTTCATATTTTGGTGGAAGTAGACACATAGCATAAGGATAAATTAACATTGTCCTGACCTGCAATAACTGACCCTCTTTGCATGTGAAAGAACAATTTGTTTTCAAAAAGCAGTTTTCCCCTTTCTCATACCTTGCCAAACCCTTGCTGTTCTGGGAACAAACAGACAGTGGTTGTTGTTACGCAGTTTAGAGAGGATTCAGTGCACTGTATGTTCTCTCACTCCTTTCTTATACTATTCTGAACAAAACACACCTGGAGTCCACCCCACCCCTAGCTAAGAGACCATTAACGTCAGGCCTATAGAGCATGCAGCACATTAAAGGCCATATTCACTCTTTGCTGAGGGCCCTTTTTTACCCCTTAAAGTCAACCTTATGTAGTACACAAGGCCTTGTATGATCCCCCTGCCTTGGCATGAATTTTAGTCCAGTTCTTTTTAATGAAATTAAATTCACCATCTGATTTGTACATCACATGCAAATGTGCAGTGAGGAAGAGTGTACCAGTGCAGCAAGAGCTAAGTGACCAAACAGCCTTCTTAATGCTGGTCTGGTTAAGGTGAAATAGCAGAGAAGTATCTAGTCTTGCAGACCAGAAGACTGTTCCTCCAGAGGTACACAGGCAGAAGGATACACAGCTGTCACAGCCCAGTAGGAAATACAGATTGCAATGAGTATGAAGGTGACGATTGGGTAGAACAATGTAGACATTATATAGCCAATAGCCCTATGAAAGAAACAAAACATATCAGTAAGCTACAACAATTTAAGAAGCAAGCTTTTTATCAGTTCTCTTCCAGCATCATCCTTTTTACTTTGAGCTACTTGTTGATACTGGTAGCATAATCTAGTGCTGGGATCTCAGAATAGTGCAGGTTCTTTCTTCAAATGTCTTCACATCTTCACTTTCTCATTTCTACCACTCCACCTTTATCGGCAGCACTACAGTCAAGTTTATCCATTTGCCATGTTCAAGACTACCTTCTACTTTCTCCTTCTCCATCACTGCTTCAGAGATCCAGCTCTGTCCAGGTCACAAACCCATTTCAATCACACCTCCTGGCTGACTGCTGCAGACATTACCCTTTATTTCCCTGTCCGACTCTGCTCAGCTCCTATGCTCTTCCTTCAGCTCCTACACATCTGAAATTACCTCTTGCTACTTTGTATTTGAGGACTCTGTTCCCAGCCCCTTTCCTGCCTTAAGTAGTAACTATTTTGGGACAGGGACATTCACCTTGTCTTTGTAACGCCAGGACATGCTAACACTTTCCTAGGACTATGTGACTTCCCTTGCATGTGCCATAACTGAGTGGTGCTTGCCTTTGGCTGTTGGCCGGCAGAAAGAATAATGGCTGTTCACTGTTGACAGCTTAGAGAGCTCCTTTTAACATCAAGGCTGATGTCTTAGAGGCTCACATTCTATTAATACTTCTTGTGGCTAGCATGCAACTCGTGAGCCTGAACTTGAGCGTGCCAGTTCCTACTCTGCCAGGGACGACTCCTCTGTAAGAGAGTCGACACAGCCCCTCTGGGTAAACTCGCTGCAGCTATCTCAGACGCGAACACCTCCAGCTGCATATCTCACTGGATGTGATTTCAGAGAGCGTGTGTTTTGTTCACTGAAGTTTGCAGGTTCATTCTCTTTACACTCCTGCCATCTACCTCTTCCTGTTACTCTAAATTTTCTTTCCAGTGACCCTGTAAGCTTATCACAAGCCTTTTTGTCTCTTAGTATTTCCTACAGTATTTCTCCTATGACCTGTGGCACTTCTGATGCTATCGGTTTTATAGGAGGCAGTTTCCAGAATGTAAAAGGAGACAAATTTACTCGGTTCCTGCTGCTAAGCTAGTAAACGCTGGGGGGGGGGGCGCGGAATGCAAGGGAACTGTTGTGTGCAATCAAGAGGTGAAGAGCAACACGTCAATTACTGTCTGAGTCTAGAGTTGTAAAAGTCCATTAAGAGTCACACAGGAGGACACAGGCTTATGCTGTCTGAGAAATAATCACTATGTATTAGAAGTGTTCAGCAGTTAATGGTAAGCCTCTCAGTTACCACTAAGACCACGGACAGTTACTCCAACAAACTGACTAACAACTGTTAATTATTTCTAACTATGGATTTCAAGTCAATTATTAGCATTGTAATATTTTTGAAAGAGTAGTTAAAAGGTATTGAAAAATGTAATTTGATTTCCAGTCATTAGCAGCTTATTTTGCACCTTCCTGAATACAGGGCATGGTCTGTTAGGTTTACAGTAATTACATACAGTGTTTCACCTCATGCATTATGCATGAGAGTAAAAACATCACCCTCAAGTGACCTTTCCATGCTGTTGAAAAACTACAGAATGTTATTAATTCTCAGCAGCAAGTTTATGAACTTTCTGAAATCCTTCTACCTGTCAAGGTTGTGAACAAAAGTGTTGCAGTGTTTAAAAGTGTTACTGAATTTTAATGAACAGGAATTAGAGTACAATTTAGTGCTGCCAAAATTAATTGCTATGCTCTAATTGCACAGTAGCATAAGACAGGAAACAAGTACCTGGCTGAATGCAGAACTTCAGTATTTCTTAATCTCATTACAAAAATCCCAAATCCTGATTCCTGAGAACCACAATGTCAACAAAGATGGCAGAACACTACAAGCAAGCGCACACAGATAAACTCAGAGCTAACTCTATGTGCTCTAACAGAGCTCTGCTTCCAAGCCTTATCAGATCTTAGCCTATTTGCAATGAAATCCAAGGGCCTGATGTTTTAAGTCCATTTCTCCTTTGTTATATTCCCATTTTTTTAAAAAAATGAACTAAGTGTTGGCAGTGTGTAAAACAGGAACCACTGTGAACAAAGTCTATGCAGATTTCAGGAAACACAAAATGAAGAGGTCTCCTAGGCATTCAACTCTCATATCCTGCTCTGCTTTCTTCTTTACTCAGAGCTGAAAAGAAGTATCTTGGACTGCACCATATTACAATGTCTGGTCATGGAAGTCTCCTTTTCTCTCTGCAGATTTATGCATGTCCATGCAAAAGTTTGACTGGAGCCAGAAGAATCCAGTCTTTCCTAAATAAAAGCCACAGCCAAAACACCACCAATCCTCTACCACTAGTAAGTCACTCTGGAGGCAATCCAATGACAGAGCAAAGTTGGCAGCTATAGGTCCCAGGCTCCTATTAACAGTGTACCACACTTAGCATTTCTGCTGATAAACCTTCTTGCACTGAGGATATGTGGTACCACTAACAGTATATGTACTCTTCAGGCAGAGAGCTGAGAGGTAAGAAATGTCTTACTGCAAAGGAGAAAGCTCTTATAAGGACAACCTCATTAACAGAGAACTGGCAATCTTTATACTACCTGTTCGGCTCAACAAATCCAGTGTTGTACTTTAACCCCCAACTTTCTGCCCTCGGTAGTGCAAGATGAAGCTCAAGAAGAGTGTACTCTAGGGATCATTTAATAAAATTAAAAATATATTAAAATTAGACAAACATACCTACTACCTTCCTTCAACAGTGCAATAGCAATCCGGATCCGATTCCTTAGGAAGATCAGCATCAGTATGATTATGACCTCAACAACACAAAGTATTATCACTGTAAACAAACAAAAAAAGTTAGATTTATCAAGAATTGAACCAATATGCTGCCTCTGTAAATCATACAAACTTGCTCTGAGGTCAGAGAGCTGAGAGCACCATGTCCCAGAACATTTCCTCTCTTAGTTATGAGCAGTGTTTGAATCATAACCCAGATCTGGTTTAAAGAGTCTGCTTCAGTCTGATTTCTATTTGTGTCAGTTCAAAACCTACTTCTGCAGTAGGAAGTGAAAAAATTCTCTGGACTTCATCTAGAGAAGACAGAGTCTTTAATGCCTGAAGCACATTGCCTCTGACTCTGAAACGTATCTATTAATTTTGGGTGCTTCAGATGGTTAAACAACATTTAAACCAGCTCAGCAGTTGTGGATGGTTGTACACAGCAGGATCTGTCTTCTCCAGCTGAAACCAAGAAGTTTTGTGGAGGGAGAGGAAGACAGGACAATAGTATCCCTAAGCCTTGGCTTGTCTGGAGTTTTGCAAAAGGACATGGGAATTAGCTTCAGGTCCCACAGCTTAGACATAGTCTCAGAATCCAGACCTAAATAGTCACAGATGATGTTAAATTGCGATCCCAAGTATTATCAATAGCCCCGGCCATCAGAACTGCAGGTGGCAAGTGACCACTGTGGTGCTTAGAGCCACAGACTTCGTTCAGAACAGTTTTTCTTACATGCGTTTCAGCACCTATTTTCTATATGGTTCCCCATGAAGGAATGCATAATCAGGTTTCTTTAAAGTTGGTCTCATTCCAGTTCAGCTCTGTTAACTTAATGTAGCTTGTCCCAAACATTGTGAAACAGGAAAGCAATCTCAGTACATGATAAGTTCTAGACTAGGACTAAGAGGATCTACGTTTTCTTCAAGGATATTTAACTGCTTTGCTGGGTGACTTTGGAACAGTAATTTTATTCCTGAGTACCTCAATTTACTCATCTGAAAGTGACACTGACCTCTAGATAAACTATATATTGGCTGCTAAGAATCAGGCAGGGGAAGAATTTGGAGAGTTACAAGGAAAAACATGATAAAGTCCTAATACTCTCTAGGGATAGCATACTAAAAAGCTCTGCCTCAACAATATGCAGAAGATGCCTCATGAGCTCGATGATCCAACATAGACTTAAATGAAGACACAAAGCAGAGAGAGGAGATTTAAGCAGTAAACTACTGCTCTATTAATTTAGCTACCAATAAGGAGAGACAGTGGTTTAGGTTATGTCCCATTCATCATCAGTTAGTGTCTGTGTGCCTTCTAATAGAGCAGCAACAGCAGTGCAAGTAATATTCAACAGGTATTTGTTCTCTCTTCCGTCCCTCCTTCCCTGGGGAGGGATGTGTATACTGCAGGCTGTCTTGCTGCAGTAGGATTTTGGTTTAAACACACTGCCCTTGTAAGAGAAGGCAATGAAGCACTTTTGAAAATAAAGGTGATGAAATTTGTGATGGTTCATTCTAGAGTCTTAGATCAGCCTCCAAGAAAATTCAGTGACCTGAATGTAAACAGTTCTACAAAGAAGTGTAGAGTTATTAATCTCATTTCTGGGGCCCTCAAACAAGGAGAATAAACAGACTGGGAGAGAAAAATGCCCCTCCTTATGCAACTTCATCAGGACGAACTTAGTTATTGCCTTCTACTCCCCCATTATGAAGACTGAACACACAGGAAGTGGAATGCTAATAACACAAGCATTTTTCACTCTCATCACTAGTGCAATTGCATTATCTCCCCTTACAAATATACTAGTCTCCTTGCAAAAAGTATCTTGCACAATGCAAAGAAAGAGAATTCTGCTTACTTCTCTGAGTGAGAAGATTTAACAAAACAGAAACTGTAGCAAGACAGTGATTGATTGATTGATTCTCCTGAATATCCATTAACAGATTCCAAGTTTAAAGGGCACTTACTAAATGCTAACCATGTTTGCCTCAGTTGCAGGTACACTCTGAAGTCTGTCTGGAATCCAATGTCGTAAACAGTGAGGTCAGATCCAGGTATTCCTTTAAGATGATCATACTCCCAGTAACAATGCCAGATGCCTTTTAAAAAAACAATCAATATAAAATGAGTGTGTCTGAAGAGTGCAAGGACAAGCTCTTTAAAAAAATCTTTTACATGCCAAGTGTTTTGTCCTCAGCATGTCTGGTAAGCAAAAACCAAAAATGCATTACTGTGAGACTACTCAATTATAACATCACATATATAGAAAAGAAGTATCAGTACACGTGAATACAGACTAAGCATACTGTGGGTAGATAATTCAGGTTACTACCTTTGGTGCTAAGTATCAGCACAGCTGGATTCTTACTAAATTTCACTGCCATTTAAGCCCTTCTCACTTAACTGTGTCTAAAACTAGGCATTAATTCTCCCAATTGTACAATTTAATTGATGTAATTACTGACTTTCCTTGCCCAAACTTAAGCAATAAGGAAAAATAGCCTCAGAGGCTAGAAGATTACACCTACCATAACCTATAATTCCAATCACACCAAAGATGAAAATCCAGAAGAGGACCCCAGCCGTGAACCTCAATAACACAAGGAAGAGCAGACTTACTATCATTGCAATGAACAGCCCACTAGAAAGAAAAGAAACAGAAATACAGGGAAAAAAGGTGTGAGAATCTTCACTTTCTTGCATGCCTGTTTCTCCAAATAAGGGTCACTTCATCTCACGTAAGAGAATGATTTGTAAAAATGTATTTCAAAATCTTACTTACAAAATACATCCTCCTGGCTATTATCTGCTATTAGAAACAAATAGCTTATATATGATGATCTCACAGGGCAGAGCCAGAAATGTTTGTATACACTAGGTTCTCAGGTTGGCTCAATGGGACTAGTACAATGCCTTTTTGGTCATTTACAGAAGCTGAACAACTCACTGCCTTTTCAGTCCATGGTCTAGTCTACAGTTCAGAAAGTTAAACTGGAGGAACAACCATATGTGGGGAGGTTGCTGTTTTATGTCCTCCATTAAAAATCCCTGCTTGCAACTAGTAAAGTATTATTCTAGGAGTTTTCCTAGAAAAAAAGAATTAAATTTAGAAGTAAAACCAGTGACTCTTTCTACCCATCAGAAGAGGAAATGATCAGGGTATGGTGATGCATAAAAAGAAACTGTTAAGAGCTATAAATGGGGACCCTAGAAAAGATATGTACAGTGTCTTCCCCTTATCAAGTCTGCGGTAAGGAAATACTTGTTTTCATTTCACTCCCAGAAAGCAAGTCAGAAAGTAAAAAATGACTGCAAAAGGCCTTTTTACTCAGTGAGGCCTTCTAAAGCAATGTGAATAAAGCAATGTGAATAAAGCAATGTGAATAATAATCCCATCCAACAAACATCCAGCTCAGATGCTCCACATAACATTTCATTTCTCAGAATTTTTACTAGGTGTTACATCAGAATTTTGTATTAGTACAGACCCCCCAAAATTTAAAATGTCTTGTTGCTTGTGTTCAATAACTTCTCTTCTGAACTTTCCCAACTTATTTAGCCAGTTACCAAAGATAAAAAATGGGTCAACCTGATCATAAACAATCAAAACCAGATGTTTTGGGCAAACTAAGCCAGATAGGCAGAGGGACAAGAAAAAGAACATCAGCTTATTTAGTTAAACCTTTGTAAGCTCGTCTTAAGTCCCAGCCCTTTAAAGACTTTGGAGCATGAGGTATTTTCCCTTTCTGAATAGCTTGTTTGAAATTCAGAATGTATTCTTCAAAAAAAGTTGTCGTTTTGGAGCTTATGAGACTATTCTTGAAAGCAGTAAAGTTACCTTTATCTAAAGTTATCTTTAGATATACATGAGTCCTAGTAACACCAAAACTGAGTACATGGTAACAACTGTCCTCAGTAGACTGAATTCCTTAAACTGAGGCTTGAAAGCAGCTGTTCTTTTGGAGTATGCTGCAAACACTAGAGCAATTCCATATTTGATTTTTAACCCAGCCTCCTTTCATTATCAGGCCTTCATTGTCATCACCAAAACTCTGGCACTTAAATATGTTTGTCCAGAAATTGTTTGATGTATGCTACCATTTGGTGAGAAGTGTGAAGAAAATTCTATCCAATTACTTTAAAAGTAGCAACAATTCCTTATAAAAATATGATATTTGAAATGTGGGAACTGGCTTTAGTATTTAGTATTTCTGTTAAAAAAAAGGTCAACTCTCTCTCCAGCCTATCTGTTCAGTGGTATCTCCTTTGAAAGAATCTGCACCATAAGCCTGATTTCAATAAGAGATCTAGAGGGAACTGAGCTTGCCAGTTGAGTTTCTTGCCACTGACTATTGTGAGCACAGCAGTAGACTATGAGAAAGCTGTCCTCCTGCCAGTGACTGAACACCTTTAAAAGCTGACAGCTTCTGTTTCTGAACTGCCTAATTCTCCATACTAAGTTTATTATCTAAAGTTTATGTATTTATTGTTGTGGATTTGCATTCAGGCTTGAACTATGTATGCTTAGTATGTGCATGCTATAGGCTCTCACCTGGCAAAGACTTCTGCTCCTGTTTAAATCAACACCCTGATCCATCAAAAACAATATTAATGGGCTAAGAATGCACATATACTTATATATTTGCTTCAGCAAAATAGCTACTTCTTTTATTTCAGTGCTGCATTTTTTACTAATTAGTGATTACTGAGTATTAATTACAAGATAAAGTTAATACTGTTCAATACTTTTTGTTCTTGATGTTGCTTTGCCTGCTGCATTGGATTTATGGATTTATATTGGATTTATGGATTATAACGGATTTAACTATATATTGCTAGTAGGAATTTAGAAATTGTGTGTTTTATATATATACTAATGACACTGAGCAACGGCAATTGATTTGAAAGCCTTCTTAATTAAGATTTTTCAGTTTTGGAATTACCACGCAGATGGGTCCTGCAACAGAAGACAGTACCTCCTGGTTTTCTGCCTAGTAGGATATTAAAAAGCTATTCCAGATCAACTGACACTCTATGTATGTATGCTGTGCTACCCTTACCTCATGTACAGCACCATAACAACATTATTATCATGTGATGAAAGGAAATCACAGTTGCTCCTTGAATTTCAAAGTAGGACTGGTAACAAACACATACATGATCTATTTTTTAACTCCCTGCACACTCCAAAGTGAGTTTGGAAAAAATAAAAATACCCACGAAAATCTTACATTAAAATCCAATACCAAGAAATGGCATAGTCTTCAAAAATTTTCATTCCAACTGATCTTGCATCCAGGACATTATTGATGCCGCTGAGAAAAGACAAACCAAAGACAAGGTTCCTTTAGGTAGAAAAGCAGAATTTATCTGAACAACAAATAGGCTTAGTGAAACAATTTGAAATATCTTTGCTAGTGATAAGAGTATATTACTGTCCTCCAGCTCCAGTTCTGTAACCAAACCAACATCAATCAGTTATGCTAAAGAAAAAAAATCTGTGTAAAAACGTCTATACAGCTCCTTTATTAAAGCTTTATTTAAAAAGCTTTATGAGTACTATCACCAGATATAATTGCTTATTACGTTACAAGAAAAGTGTATACTAATATGATCTGCAATGTACCAAGAGCCAAACAGTTGTGATTCTAGAACTGCTAATAGCAGAGAAGCAGAAAACAGCTCAGTGAAGCAAAAGGTTGACTTTATGGAACTGTTTTCCTATCCAGCAAAGTGCTTGTTCATATTAAAGTTTTCCTAAGAAGAAATGAAGGATCTTCTTATCAAAGAACAGACAATGTAGTTGTAGATGGGAACCTAATAAGGTGCAGGTGTTATCAGTGTTGGTAAGGTGCTAGAATGTGGTAGCCTTGGGTCAAGAGGTAAGAAAAGGTACCCTTGTGCTCCAGACAGGCTGAGGACTGACAGCAGCTGGAAAAGAGAGGCTATTGCAGCAGTTTTCTCTCATCCTGGTTGATGCCCAGGATTGGAGATGCTTGCTGTCCATCTTCAAGGTAGGTGTTGTCAAGCATCAGAGCCCAGTACATTGCTTTTTGACCTTTAGACATGTACTAAAAACAGGAACACTCCGATGAGGTGAGATGCCCAAAATACTAAGACAGTCCATGTTAGGGGAAAGGCCATCATAGGAAGGAATAGCTGAGGCCATTACTGTCTGGCCTGAGTCCTGCAGCACAAGTATTTAATTTTGAACCTCCTTTAGCTTTCTTTAATACTAATTTTTGCTAGAAAAAACAACAAGAATGATTTAAAAACTGACAGTCATTCTGAGACAGTTGGACTAAAACCTTTTGCTCCTTGCTCATTTCTGCATACCACAGTCATAGTTTTCCTTACTGGAACTTTGCAAGTGCCCAGGCACAGATAGAACATTTACTAGCAAGCCTTGCCTGTGTACCCTCAGCCATTTGCTACAACAGATTCTGATTCTTTTTTCAATTCCTAAATTATTTCACAGTCTCAGAATCCAACAAATGAGCACTTAAGAAGGGTAAAACCTACTTTGCAGCTTCCCTGAGATCAGTTACATTTCTTGTTTTCCCTCTTCCATCTTTGAATGTAGTCTGATTTGCCACAGTTAGCACACCATTCTTCGTGGAGAAGTCTGGGAAGCATCTCTTAAGAACTATTCAAAATATCAAAACAAAGCATGCGTATTACATTTCATGTCAAGCTCCACTTCTATGACTTGTCTTTTGTAACATATTTAAATAATTTCAGATTCACAGTCAAATGTTTTTCAACTGATTATCTAACAATATGTTGACTTTGACAAATCTTGAAAGAGCCATTATATTCAAGACTATGAATTTTATGCTCTGGGGCTCAGGCATGGTGGGATCATAGCTTTCAACTGGAGATTCTAGGTGCTACCGAATAACAACAGTAGTATCTGTAGCAGTTTAAGAATTTGTAATAAATGCAGAACTTACTCTCTGTCAGTATCTGGGCAGCTTACAAAAACTGCAGCTTCTCAAATATGTCATTTCATGGTAATAATCAAACCAGCCCCCAGGGACAGACTCAACATGACTGGTCACGAATGGTATTAGCACCCAAAACAATACATAACAGCAAGTGTCAGTTCCTCATATGCCAGATGAGTTCCAGTACCAGCCACTATCACTAGATATTCTTGGAGAGGAAGCAATGGAAAAAAGACAGAAACTGTTGGTTAGACAGAGGGAGGAGGAGATTATAAAAGAGAGAGAAAAGGAGAGATGTTTACATACTTATTTATGTTGCCCTGCTCTTTGCTGCAAAAAGTCCTGGTTTTCATTCCAAAGGGAAGAGCAGATCAGTCCTCCTATATGGCTGTACTTTATATAACAATTCTGTGCTTTTCTTATCAGGTTCCAATAAATACTGATGCCAGGGTTCAATATTCAGTCTAAAATATCTACCCCACCAATTACTCTGAGGAAATAATTAAGTAACATGTCTCTTTTCCTCCCTCTGTAATCTTTGCCCCTTGTTGTAGTCTAAAAGAAGATAATAGCTTCTTTGCAAATTATTTTCTGTCTTTTGGGTGAGTACATCAGTTTTCATACAAATTCTTAATTTTTTTTTTAAATTTAATCCATTTTCTCTTTTTGATAACCTGTCCCTGCTTTACATGATGTCTATTTTAAACAATGGAAAAATAAACAGCAATTTCTTATTTGCATGAGCTTCTGGGCCAGTGACAGATACTCTTGGTATTACACTTCTGCAGCTGAGATGAGCTCTGAAACCTGTGGTTATCAACTCAGAAATACCTGCTGACCCTAATGACAAAAACATTTTTTGGCCCTTTAATTCCTCTGTATGCCCTGCATAGCCAGCACTGCAACTGAAAAGCAAGCTGCATTGTAACTGGGCTCAAGTATCATCTGAACGTCCAACAGCTGGCCATATGATCCTTCCTACATTTTCTTGATGCCAGTGGGGTTGCTTGCTCACATGGCTTGGAAGGCAAAATCTGAGCTGTAAAGCTTTTATTATCAATGATGATTCAAGAGCAAGAAAGAGCTCAACTTGACCCGATCACATGCTGAATGTTCATGGATGGCAGTTAGAAAAAATAATAATAAATCTTTATACTTTCAAATTGTTTAAAATTGAATGGATGTCACTGCCAGATAACAGAAAGCTCCTAGTGACCTTGCCACAAAACACTTTTCAGACTGGAGTTGTGCTTTAATGTGAACGCTTATAATCTGCTAAGATGTGTGTAAGAAGTAGAACCACTCACAAGGCCTGCTTGGAATGATCATCGAAGGACAATCTTCATCACGTAGGACTTGAGCAACAGACTAAAAAGGGGAAAAATAGGAATGCTGAATACATCGCAGAATAACTACGTGGTTTTTGTTTCTCACCCAGTCTGAGAAAATGCCCCAAACTGGGCTTTGTAGCCTCCTCCCCAAACTTGACTGGTGGAGCTGCAAGATACATTCATGACATAAGTGAGAATCCAAACTGTCATTGTGATTTGGAAAAAGACTATTCTTCTTTCCTTTTCTAGTGACAAAAAAGAAAAGACCTCTTCACTTTGGATCAGCATCTAAGCCAGAAGTGACTGGGCAATTGTTCCTTGCCTCCCCTCTGCCTTTTCTCTTAAAGAAGAGTAAGAATTTAACACAATTAATATAGCTGAATTGCAAGGTGTTTTAAAGATGGGAGAAATAATGCAGTACATTTGAGTGCAAAATCAGTTACATGAAGGATAGATTAATTTTCCTAGCTAAATTACTAAGTAGCTATAGATGACTCAGGAGCCTTAAGAACTGGTTTGAGATGCTCTGTGCTACTGCTGTGGAGTACATAAGTACTAAAGGATACTGCTTGCCTTAGTAGGCCAGTACTGCAACTGCATGGGTAGCTGCACATATTCTTTTAAGCAAATAGTAATCATTTAAATAGTGGGAGATTTGGTGTGCATACAAGACCCTTACCCCTGATTAAATCACTGTCAAACCATATACATGGGACAACTACTTACATGGTGAAATCAGAATAATTCAAAACTTTGATGTAGCTCAGTAAAATCATGCATATTACATATTGCTTAAAGAAAAAATGTATTCCATCACCTACTGATACATACACACCTTGCGAGGATTGTTAAAACCAGGTTTGCAGAATTGCCTGAAGTAATTCCACTGATCTGGTTTATATCTGTAGGAAGCCTGAACATCAATGTAGGTTGCAAACCTGTCTGGGCACTTTGAGACACAAAGCTGCAAGAAAAGAAAAAAACATGAGTAAAGATACACTGGGGGTAGAGAAAGGTAAGGAAAATCAGTGCAATTAAAAAGCAAGAAAAAGGCCACCTATAAAAGTGCACTGTTTTATGGAATTGCCTTCAGTAATATTTACTGCAGTATTTAGACGGGGGCATATGTTTTCCTCTTGATTCCCTAGATAACTACTTCTAAAATTCTTTGATAGAATACACTTTCAAAGTCTCTCATATCTGGCATATCAAGCCTCTCTCTGTATCTTCTTAGGTTCTACACATTCTGGTAAAAAAACAGAGCTTTCAGTCTGTTGAAAAAAAAATATTTTTTTTTTGAACACCAGGAAAAAAATCTGTCAGGTCCTCCTCTACTTCCATCAGCAGCAGTGTATATGAGCAAGGTGGTGCAGTAGCTACTTTCACAGGATACACATAATTTCTTTCTATTACATTTATAAGGAGAACTTTATTAAAAAAAACATCTCACACAGCTAAAATTGTTCCACCCTTCTACACAGTCTCTTCAGTCAAATATACCTCCACAGATTTCGTTCAAGTCAAGTTAGGTGTAAATCACTCAAATGTGACTTTTTCCTATTAACTAATGATGAATCTCCCCTAGTTACAAAGCAAGAGGGGTGCACACGCCAGGAATGAAATTCACACCACTGAAGGTACAGCCATTATAAACCGGATTTATATGAGAAATCAAGTGAGGTCTGGGGTTTGATGAATGCATCCACTCAGAAGTTATGATTTAGATTTATGTAATGGAGAAGCAGCCACCCCAATACACAGACTCTGAAGGCTTTGCTGGTCACTGGAATCATGCAAGTGTGCAGCCGTTCTGACTCCTCAGTGTTCCTAAATACTGTGAGGTAGTTTGAAGTCCATCTTTTTAGCAAGTTTCAGCCTTTTCTAGAAGGTCGTTCTCTGTTTCCAAAGCTGCGCTATCCAAACACCTTTTGCAAAGCTCTGCTATCCAAGTACCAGAGAGACATCATGCACGAAACTGTATTTCACCTCAAGGGCATTCCGCCATGTATGATTCACCTACAGGAATTTTGGGAAAAGATCTTGCACTAATCCTTAGAACAGGGCAGATGCTGCAGGAGGGTCTTTCTAGGTTAAGTACTACAGTCCTATGGACTACCCACAGGCCAAGGAGCAAAGAAGAGTTTTGTCCTTGCTGGAACAACAGGTGACTAACAAGTATACACTTTACTGTAACCTCAGTTTCCCATCTATGAAACAGGCAATTAAATGTGCTGTCTATGGATCCAGTGAACTGTAATAACAGTTTGAAAATCCACAGTCTTACTCAAGAACTGAAGCTCTTCCCATGACAGTTCTTGGGTTTTTTTCCTCCTGCTATTTGATATGAATGGGACAGGAATGAAAGATCCTGTCTGCAGTTCAAAAGGGGAATTATCAAACAAACATTTCTTCAGCATTTCACAAAAGACCAGAGAATTAACCATCTGCAGTAGCAAACAGCATTGAAAAACATTCTCATTTTTGGAGATGTTTTATGTTTGAAAATAAACAAAATAACTACTCTGCTACCCCAAACTCTCCTTCAACAAGTATTTCACCTTACTTGATTCATGACCACTGCCAACTTGACCACAGCACCAGTCAAATCCCACACAATGACCTCAGTATTTCTGAACAGGCTGAATTGTTCCAGTAACAGAGTCTAAAGACTGCAGGGTAACAGTGTCGGTGTCTGCATGTGGACAGATGGGGATTCCTGAAGCAAATCTGCTGCTGATAGAGAAAGTTTCCATTCTGACAGCAACTGGTCAGTGTTAAGAGGGTCTTGCTCTTCCTTGCTGGAGATTTCCATCTCTTCAGCTGTGTCAAATAGTCCATACGGTCACACTAACTGATAGGCCAGAAACATCTATCAATGATGGGAAACATTTTAAAATGATAGTCAAATAAATAGACAATTAACATTTGTAATCAGTAAATTGGTTACCATATAACAACCCTCATCCAAATTAATACTGGACTCCACTTAATGTTGTCAAGATGGCTGAGACCATACTCTGTCACCTGCAGTTCAATTACACAGTACAATTACTTTGGCAGCAAAGTTGGATCAGAGCAGTACTGCACCTAATTTCTCTGACCTACCCTATGCCATAAGTTCTTGCCTCATAAGGTGAACTGACATAACTGGTTGTGCAATTGTTCAACAAACCAGGTCAGTAAAATGGCCTCATATAAAAAGATCAGGAAGATAATTTTAACCCACACAAGTTCAGTGGCTGGGTTTATTTCACAGCTTCACGAGAAGTTGCAGCACAGCTAAGGGAGTACAAGTTGTAGCATAAGGCAAGAACAGGCTTTTGAGATCTCCACTTTTGAAAGTGCCATAGACTCCAACCACACCCAGATACTCCTGTCACAGGGGATATACACATTTTCTAGTTTGGAAAACCCTAAATATCAATCAAAATTTTTTGCTGCATGCACTGATTACTACTGGATAGTTGCCTGTGATGAATTCATAAGTAACAAATTGCTGCATTCAACTAAACAGACCTTTTTTTGTCAACTCTTATACAAAATACACCATCTTGTGCATTTCTATTTTTTCTGACCATGACAGGCTACTGAGACTGTGCTGCACGTCATCTATGAAACAATCATACTATATTTTGAAGGATATGAACAGCAATTTTTAAATCCAGACAAATGTATGTCTAGTTCTTAAGCACCATGACTAAGAGGCAGGGAAAATATTTTACCTCTGTATTTCACTCACCTGTGTTGTAGGGCACTGTAGGTTTATTAACACTATGGGGCTGGCACATTTCAGAATGTTAAAGTAAAACAAAATGGTCTTGTTCCTATGGAAGTGGATATAAGATAATTAATGTTATAAATATGGTTGCTTATACATCCTACCATTCAAAAAGTTATAGCATACATCAATATTTAAATTCTATTATTGTGAATGGTCATATGGTAAACACAAGCCAAAAAAACAAATCCCAAGCAGACCCTGAATGTTCTGTGCCAAGACATCACTGAAACTAGAAGTATTTGTTCTAAAGAATGCTATTTTGATAAGTTTTTTCTACAGCAAGGTTTTAATCTGAAACAACCCTACGCACTGTTACAGGTATCTGTAGTCCTGCCTCTAAGAACTGAGGTCTGTAAAATGCCCCTGCAAAAACACTGTGGTCCCTTTGCTTACACTGAACATATTGTGCATGTACTGCATGCAAAATTACTATCAGCAAATGCTACGCTGTAAAAGCTGCCTATTTTTTGTTGATCAGAAGGTGGCACCAAAATCAGTCAAAAGCTTTTTATGGTTGGAAACCGAAAGCAGATGGTCAGGAAACAGAATGATAACAGCATCTCCTAATAATGCTGATAAACCTCCTTTGATATAAATAAGGGACAGTCTGAGGGGTTTGCACCCCAGAATCCACACACTTGACAGCTTCTGGAACTTGGGACCTTGAGGCAGCTGTTACCTCAGTTTGGATTTGTTGAAAACTGATTACCTCAAGATCTCTGGGTTTAAACACCTGGGTTTTGAAGACAGCAAAATATGCTGTTAAACTTTGCTATGTCAGAAAATTATCAGATAGCTCTAGTGAAGATGGCATGGCAGTAATCCTGCCCTTTTTACACAAGACTTCAAAGTCAGCTAGCCATGCCAGAACTATACAGTGTCCCTATAAGAAATAATGGTGCATACACCCCCCTACGGCCTATGGTGTGCAAGAGAACACAGTAAGCAGTGCTTGAGCCACCACTGACCCCCACTGTGGCAATGCAGCACAGAGGGAGCTCTGCCTTGGGAGCAGGGTGGAAGTATTAACAAAGAAGTGTGCTTGGGCTAACAAGGCTGCCCCTCTTCAATCTGCTAACCTGGCACAAGTCCTGCTCCCACATCTGTCCATTGTATCCCCCAGACCAGAACATATCTTCTGATCTTCCACCAGCATGTGGCTCCCACCAATTGCTGAATATGGCTATGCCTTCAAAGCCATTATATAGCACATTCAAGCTCCCTTTAAAACTGGAATTAGCTCAACTGCCTGACATTTTACAAGGTTAAATTGTTTTCACTGAGGTATGTTCTACTATGCACTGTTTAACAAAACATGCATCCTGGCAAAAACAATTCACTATCATTAGTTGTTATTTCTTTAAATCAATAGAATAAAACTTTGGACTGAAATGTCGTCGTTCTTCAATAGTTTCTTGACAGTATTTATCATCTGTGAGCTGCTCAAAGCCATTAATGAATTTTTTCTTTCTTATGTCTTAGCCCACTTGCTGACATTGACAGCAGAAAAGAAAGTTTAAAAATACACGTAACACAAGAAAACAGCCACTGAGAACTAGGTCTGTATTCTTTATAATGAAATTGTGTTGTATTCTGTGATTCACTGTGCTCTGTAGAAGGCAAAACAAGCTTAGAGATTACATGGAGATTAATGGATGGATTACAGGGAGACACAAAGAGGCCTAAGAGAGACTCGCATGACAACACAAGGTAGAATTAATTTGACTGCATGGAATTCACTGGAGTTTGAATGGGTTTTTGCATGAGCTGTGAGTGTTGGCATGGTTTTTAGCTTCTTTTTTCTACTCCTCAGTGAGATTGCTGGGAATGTTTGTTCTAAGCACAAGATTCTAAGCACAAGAGACTATGATTACTTTCCAAGGAAAAAGTCTCAGACTAAGCCCTTAGGGACTTTGGAAAACCATAGTCCTGGGTTAGCCTTTCATACTGCTTACTTTCAGGGCATGTGAAAAATTCGACAATGGTATCAATGAAGGCCTGAAGAGCACATCCCACACCTCCACTTTTAGGGACTAGACAGACTTGTTCTGAGGGGCCTCCTGGCCTACTGCCATAAACACTGTTGCTTTTCCAGTAGGTTGAATTATGTGTCTTTTGGCTTATGTTTTCATAAGAAACTCCTCAATGTAGCAAGTAAGTGCCAAAATGCAGTCTCAGTAGCTGTATTATTCTCCAGCAATCCTATATATGGAGGGACATTTGTGGATACAAACTGGAAATCACATTGTCAGAAATAACTAAAGGGAAGACTTGAGTAACAAAGAGAAAGAGGGAATGGGAGTGGATGATAAGAATCAGAGAGAAGCATCTGGCTACACGCCACACAGTGCATGGATGCTGTGTGTCTGAGAGTCCCAAACGCATTTGCCCACTGCTTCCTACAGACCAGAGAGGGGATGAGGACAAATTGGGAGTGAGGAGAGGGGAAGCAGAGAAGGGGTGCAGTGAGGGGAACACACACAACACTACAACTTTTTCCCCGGGTTTTTCCTCTTCAGAAAGTTGGACTCTCCAACAATTGCTGTGAAGAATCTTAGTCGGAGAGTGGAACAGGTCTTCTTACACTATCTAGTCTGTTTCCTCTGTAAAAAATAACTTGAGAGCTTATAAAGTCCTAGCTCTACTTCTGTTCGACTCCCTATCTCCTGTTCCTCCCCTTCTGAACTGCCCTTTGGACAGTGGTTTCCTCAGTTTTTTCCTGGGAAAATAAATGGGAAAAAAAGAAGCAGCAAAGAGCTGTTATCAAACACTAGCTTCTGTTTTGCTTCCTGCATAGCATCCAGCTTCTTGACAGTGACAAGGGCATAAATTACGCATAATACTTACTTTTTAAAAGGGAGAAGGTGAGGAAAAAAGCAAACTATTCTTTAAATTGTTTCATAAAACACTTAGATTTTCAGAGAAAACATTGATGTGACATCTTTCTTTTGTGAGCAGCTCTTTTCATGTAGAAGTACTCTCTTGATATCAGCTAATTAATTTAACTCTCACAATTCAAAATTAAAAAAGACTGGGAAACAGACACAAGTAAATAAAGCCATTTGGCTGATATGCCCAAGGAAGCTATGATTACAGCTGCCTGTCCCCCAGACCACTCAGTCCCCTCTCTACTAGCACTGGATAAGCACCAGAAAAAAACCAAGAGCTTTTCCTCATGATCTTTTCTGTTATCTGATGTATGTTGAGAAAAACTAAGAACCAGGCTACAATGCTTTAGGACTACTCTTATCCCAAGGTGGACAGAATTACTCAACAGGTTATTAACTATCCAAATGTTGGCAGTTAGAAGCTGTGCCAGATAGTCACTTTCTATGCAATTAGTGATGCAATCTTTAAGTTATATCGATACTTTACCAAAAATATTCTCTGAATGATGAAAACAACTGCATTATAGTGATAATTTGGGTCTAGATTTGCACTGAGCAACTCATCTATTTCTGAACTTTATTTGGAATAAATACAGTAAGAGTCTCTCTGTCTCCAACTTCCCACAAGAAGATAGCACACAGATGTATATGTTCTGTTCCCGTAGCAGACAGAGATTTGAAACCTCCCTCATAGTGCATGAATAATAAAGGTATGTGAATGGATTTAGTACTCACTCATTGAGGGTATCTTTCTGACCACAGAACTGCCCATAGCTGTCAGTTGGATAAATCACTTTCCTGGGGTCACCGTGCACCCAAGCTGCAAATATACACATCTCTTTGAACATATTAGTCAAGTGTATACAGTTAACAGTTCAAACTGACTAGCATGAAAATGTATCACCTCCAGTGTGCCATTTTAATCTTTGTCAATCACCACTGAAGAGTATTATTTGTAGATTTCCTAATGAAAATCTAAAATATAAAACAAACTAAACTGAACTAACATACGGATGAAATCAGCAAGAAAGCAAACCAGTTCACTTTTTACCTTCAGGGCACATACATCCGGGTTGTATCCAAAATGTGAGGTAATGGACTTAAACAATAATGGTTATTAAAAGAGGAAAGAAGAGGGCCTAACTATGTAGACAAATTTGAGCAATCACAGGTAACAACAATGGCATTGAAATTAATAGGACTACCTGGGTGTGTGACAAAAGCACATAGGGTGTGACTGAATCTAATGGACTCCATTTGCACTAAGAAAGGAAACAAACTCTCACTTTGTAAATGAAAACATTTCCTGACCTCTCACTTAGCAATTGTCCCATTTCTCCTTTATTAAGTATGCACCTGGCAACTTATTTATTATATGCTAGAATGAACCATAGTACTGAATGGGAAGAGAGGTTGATACTGAACTTTTAAATGTCTTTTCTCCACTTCAAAGCAGGATTTCTTCTCCAAGCCATTTTCACCTGCACCATTATTTCCCTTTGAGGATCAAGTACACACCAGTTATCACCATTAGTATCATTATTTCTAAGCTGTAGCGTGCAGACCTGACTAAGCTTCCTTCATGACTTGCCAATCACTAGCTTAGGAACTGTTCTAGCTACTAACTCCTTATTCAACCCTAAATAATGGAAAATTCATTTATTTTTAAATAGCATCTGAAAGTAAGATATAATGCCAAAATATAATTCCATATCACTACCCTGAGCTGACACCATAAAATCAGGTTGCTAGAGAACTGTTAGAAAAGACCATTGATCTTCTCCCAAACATTTTCTTGTGCTTGTATTATGTGGAGAAGATTACAGGTATTACAGATATTTTAGTCCCAGCCTTCCCCTTCTTGCACCACATACTGAATGTCAGGAGCCCACTTAGCATACACTTTAGGCTTTGATCTATGCAAACGACCTTGAACTCGCTTCTCTGTAATTACCCCATTTTGTCTCAACTTTGTGACATTACATTTAATCATTTGTGAAACTGTCATCTTCCTCAAGGTCACTTTGGTAAGAATAACAGCATTTAACAATAATGATATGTGCAGTAGAGACAGAACCTATATAAGATGTCAGAGCAGCAGATTGCAAATTTATTGAAATGTTCGGGACAGATGCACAACATATCTTCAATGACTTGCAAACAGTTACAGAGAATCTGTAATGCTACCTTCCACCTGGAATGATTTTAGGCTACCAAAGTGAATTTGCTAGCTCTTTTTAACCTATGTTAGTTTTCCTCTGTTTTGGAGTTTGTAAATTAACCTGGTGCTTGGTATCAAACACTTTCTGAACATTCAGATTAACCGCATTTCAGCTTAACTGTGGTGTTCTGATGCTCAGAGAAAGCTAAAGTGCTTCACCACTGTTAAATCCCATTTACTTTTTCATTTGTTAGCCCCCACTTACTTATTTCAGTAGCATTACTTAATAGGAACATTTAGGAGGCATCAACTCTCTCTTAGGAATTCCTATAGTCAGTTGATAACTCATATCTGTACATGACATTAAAAAGCAGACAGCTGTCTGGTGATTGCAATGAGTCTGTAAGTTATGCCATGTACACTTTCTGCCATCATGACTGACAAGAGGCAGTTTTTCTTTCTACTTTAATATGACCTTGCTTTTCATACTGGTAAAAGCCTGGTCCCAAATGGATCAAGCTGCTATATAGACATGAAAGAACTTTCAGGCCTTACTTGTATGATGTTAGGTGACTCTAATAAATTGAAGTTTTCCCAATGCCCAAATTAGTTTTTTTAAATTAGCTTGGCACATTATTAAAGGGACTCATTTTTTGCATTTGGCTGTATTTTTTCTTTAACACCAGCAAAACAGGAAGCAATAGAGATAAGCCCCACCATGCCAGATTCAAAGTACTGACAAGAATTTTGTAACAAGACTTATATCTGCTTCATATAGATAATCTGGAAGCAGTTGCTACTGCCAACAATATCCCTTTCCTAAGTAGCATATTAAACCTGGAATTATTTTTCACTCCTCAGACAAACTTGGGAGAAAGGAGATAAACACTGCAACATAATGTTGGTTGAGTTTTTTTGCTATCTCAGTCTTAAGGCTCTTTCCATAAGAAGGGCCCATGCAACCCAGGCTTACTTCCTTCAGCCTGTTTAGGTGGACTAACACAGCCAACAGGGATAAAACTCAGCTCATCAAATGGTCAGTCCAGTGTATTCTCCTTACATTCTTTTTAGTTCTAATACAAAGTCTGCTGAAATATTTCAAAAGGCTCCCTTGGTTTCACTCACTGGGTTTGTATCAATCCTTGGTCTCAAATTTAATCACTCAACTTTTGCAGTGTGTTTCTCAATTGCCTGTAGAAATTAGAAGAGTACAAGCAATGGAACACACTGCTCACTTCTGAATAGAATTTCTGTTCAGACTGTACCTGCTTTGCCATTATCAAGTTGTCTAAAACTACTCCTGCTTGGCAGTAGTTGTTCTGTGGACTTAAGGCTTCAGTCATGCTTTTAATAAAACAGTATTAAAAAGAATCTGCTTTTAAAAAGTAGATTTAGCACACTTTGTGAAATTCCATCACTGGGATCAGCTGCTGGGTGGATAGAGGAAGACGCCTCTCAGATAAATTCCAAAGTGAAACAGAAAGTAATTGGGTCTGATTCACAACATATACATTTAGCATTTAATTAACTCTGCAGCAGAAAGAGAAGGGAAATGACCAACAGAAGAGAAAATACACAGCTTCTTTCATTGCCTGTGCCAGGGCTAACCATCAAGATTAATAAACTTAATCCTTCGTCACCTTCTTTGCAAACTTAAGAGCGATGACAGTGGAAGAATCCATGTGATAAAGACACAATTTTTCTGGCCTAGCCAGTGAAGAATAAGTACCTAGTTCAACAGTTCTCACTGAGTGAAGCAGGTTATTGTGACAACTACCCTGACAGAGTAGTACCATGTTTTGCATGTTGTGCTGCACTACTGGTGACTCACTATCAAGCACTAAATGAAAAGGAATCCAGTCACGTCAAATTTTTATTCCAGCATGCTCTGATGCTCATAAGGCTGCAGTCTGAGTGCTGGCACAAACATCTGGGCTAAAAAAGAAAATTAAAGAAGAGCTGAACCATATTACACAGTTGACTCAGCCCTCAAAGCATCAATGTGACATCCTATGACACTGGTATAGCATTTTCGGGAGGCCTGCAGTTATGTCAGTCCTTTTACTGATGTGGAGCCGACACACATGGACAATATCAAAAATAGCTAATGTTTGTCACTAAATGTCTATCAGATGCACTCCTTTTTTTCTGTGCTTTATGGGCCATGTCAGTGGTTGTAAAGGCTGGAAAGCTCCCTGTCAAGGAGAAAATGTGATTAGAACAATGGCATCCTGTGATACTTAAAAATGAACTGCAATTCTGTTTATACTATCTGTCTCATCCCCTCTACTGTGTATTTTTGAAAGGGCAGTCTTTCATATCATTATTTTGCTTCCCTTAAGGGTATATTTTTTATGTTTTAACGTGTGAAGAAACTGACCCGCTAAATTGTTCTTATGGCTTTTTAACACAAGCAATTTACTACTGTATTGAAACAGGTTATAGAACACATGATACAGAATTTGTAAATCCATGTTGATAACGCTGGTATGGTATAAGCATCCCTTGGAGGAATACAACAAGAGTTATTACTTTGAATTAACCTGTCCTTTGAAATATGAGGGTCTTTTCTAAGATAACTTATTTGTTGCCTTTTATGTGCACTTTTCTGAATTAAAATAATCTTAAATTAAGAAGCTAAACATTTGCAAAGTATTGCCTGGGTAAACCCAGTGTCTCTGAAATAAACATGAAGAGTTAAGTCAGTTTGATAGGAAGGAAAACTACCCACAATGTTAAATTAGCACTATTGCTTCATCTGTAAAGTTAAAATAATAAGAAAGTAAATCACAGAATAACTATTTCTATTCAGTACAGTCATTCAACAGCATCCATCCATGAAGCAGAACTAAGAAAGGCTAGTATCAAAAATAATTTGGTTTCATCTTTCAAGAAGAACTGATTACCTTTTATTCAGACTACATTTCAGCTCCCCCGAAACATAAAAACATTCTACCCTACGGTTACACAGACACACATATAGATGAAACCTATGTGAGCTCTACATACAATACTAAGGGCAAAATTTCACTCAGATTTTCAGTCATAACAGTTGTGTCATGAACCTGCATTTATTGCTTACTTCTCAAGCCAAATTAAACAGGGATCCTGAGCGGTATTCACACATATTCAAGAAATTGCAGAAATCAACTTTTTTTTTCCTTTAATAAGCCATAAGGCATAATTCATGACCAAGGGTTGATTTATAGTCTATTTTCTTTTAATGCAAACTTCTTTGGCTCTCATGTATTTTGTCAGGGCTGGCCCCTGGAACTGTACCAAAGCTGATCTCATCTTTTACTTAGAATTAAATTAGAGTAAAAAGAATAGCTGAAGCACAGTACAAGGAAAGATGAAAAGCAGGGACCACGTGGATCTGGATTTGGAGCTGAACTAAATGTTTCTAGACTGAAAATTCAAATCTTCTCTGTAAGAAAGGTAGAAAAAGTCACCAGCTACAAATTCAGTATCTAGTTCCAGGAATAGGTTCTAGTTCTAACCAGTATTTCATAAGGTTTGCAAGAGAGGGCTGTTCAGATGCCTCGTGTGCAGTTGGAAACCTCTGCATGTGCAGAGCAGGGAATATGACTAATTTACTCTCCCACATCACAGTAACTACCTTGTCTGAGATTACAGACATGAAGAAGTGAGGAACTGGCTAGTCCTCTTCTGGTGCTATCTACTTCTGCAACATCTAGCTTATGGGGTTCTTCGGCAACTGCACACACAAAGTTGACATAAAGTTCTAGACAAAAAATGGAGATTTATATAGTGCTGGAAAGACAACCAAGACCGGGCAGCACAAGAATACTGTACAGCTATAAACAGCCAGTGCTTTCCATTCCCTTTGTCCAAGTAGTAGCACTTCAGAATACTGTCTGCACAAGGGCAGGTCACCAGTCACCAGAGCATTTGTATGCTCAAGAAAATAACAAACATTCCTCTGATCTGAGTCCAGCTTCTTCATTTCTGGCTTTGAATTTGAGCAGTGACAGAAGGAAGAGACCAGAAGATCAGTGAAGAATCAGTCAGTCAGGTAGGAAAAGGAGGACAGGAGCACAGACATTGCAGAGATGTCCTTCAGACAAGGCATACTCCCAGCACCAAGTCCAGCAGCTACTGTTGCTTCTTAGGACTAATAATTTACCTCCTTTTCTTGAGTCTATTCCAGCGCAGGTTTAGTAAGCGGAGATACATATTGCATGTATATTCTGGTAAGTCCCTCTCCAATCTCCTATAACCGGGAGTCACATGAGTTTTTCTGCTCCAAATACTTTCAGAAGTCAAATGAACATTAGTGTCAATTTGGAGTTAAGCAAAGTGGGAACAATTCAATTAGGCCATGAGGGCAAGAAGATGCTTCATTCCCTAGCAAAGGAAAGGGTCCACAGAATCCAAACAGTAGCCAGAACTGTGATGAGAGAGTACATGCATGATTTTGCATACACAGAATCCAGTAGCAGCTACAAAACAAAGAGATCCTGGGTTTGTCTCCACACAGATACCACTGATGTTAACTTAAGCATCAGAATCACAGACACTGACCTGTGAAAAAACTGTCAAAGGACTGCATTTCAAGTCTGTCTGAAGCTGACTGTACAATAATGCCATGCAGTACAGTTAGGGACTCCTTCCTGGATCCAAACCCAAAGAGAACCCTATAGCTGCTGCAATCTCTAGAAGTATGGCATACAATCAAGTACAGCTTGAACAGCTTCTGAATTCACTTTTTGGTCTGCCCACTTTTTTTACATTCATAGATGTCAAGTTATCATTCATTTTTGGGAAACAGAGGCTCAAAGAAATTAGACAAGAAAAAAACCAAAAAGTTTTGAAAAGAAATAATTTCTTCCACCTGCAAGCATCATCAGCCATCTGCTCCCGTGGTGTTCGCTTCCTAGTGTGGGCTTTGCACTTCCTTGCAAAGGTCCTCCATGCCTCTCTAACTTGCTGGTATATACCATTTGCTTCCTCACTTCTCTGTCTTACTGAAGACATAAAGGTTCATGACTTGGCAGTAAGTGCAGGTGAATAAGGGAAAGAAAAAATACGCACACAGAATTCCCAGTGCTTCAGAGAAAACAGACTTTCCAGAACATGTTCAGTGCTCAGCTACTACAGGCAGGGTGAGAAGAGACAGCTGAGCACTGTGGCTTGGAGTATGTTATGCTACCATACAATTTATGGGAGGATACATGTATTCTCTCAGACAGTTACTGGAATCACCTAGGTTAAAACAGTCTTGCTTACAGCCATCTTTTCATGCTACAGACAGCAGCTTTTCACAGAATGGTTGGGGTTGGAAGGGACTTCTGGAGATCATCTTGTTCAAAACCCCTGCTCAGGTAGGGTCACCTAGAACAGGTTGCCCAGGACCACATCCAGCCAGCTTTTGAATATCCCCAAGGATGGAGATTGCACAACCTTTTCTCTCTAGAGAACAGAAAATGGTATTACAGAATTATGAAGAAAACTAACGGCTTTTATTCTATGTAAGGCAGGGCCAAAACAATCTTTTACAAGCAAACTGAAAGAGCTCAGGTGGACATGCAGATACACATTAAGTACACTTTTACAGGATCGTTTGTCCTTTCACACACAGGCATTCATACAAATCTCTCACACAAACAAAATAAAATGGCTAATCTTAATGAATATCCTGATGTGCAAACAACTCTGGATCCCACAATAAATGAAGTAATTTCTCTTGCTTCTCCTTATTGCTCACATAGGTTCTTTCAGTAATATTTTACAGAACAAAATGCCTCTTAAAACCAAAGTGTTTATTTCTAACTTTTGCTGTCAAATTAATGACAAATGAAAGTCAATTTTCCCCCTACAGTTACTTTATGATAGCAAAATTATCAAACCATGTCATTTTTACTTGAACACACTTAATTTTGAATTTTTCATCAGTAAACACATGGTTTTGAACTTCTCCGTAATTACAATAGACACTGAATGTTAATTCATTTTTTTGCTTCTAGGACAGGCACTGCTTATTGCTTGGAAAGCTTTACATAGATATAAGCAAAAAGGACATCTCAGTTAAAAATTCTAACATTCACAAAGTTGCTTCCCCTGTGTATAAGGAAGCACTACTATACCTGCATTTACTTACCCACAATTCCTAATGCAATGTAACCCAGAATGACTACTATGAAGATCACACAGCAAATAATGTCTGTACAGTGCCTAGGGACAGAAAGAAACACTTTTTAAAAATAAGGTGTCTAAGTGTTATAGGGTATTTTAACATCTGAATAAGATGTCTGCATCTGCACTTAGTATAAGTCTTACTCACAAAATCACGTTTGAGGTGTAAGGCCTTGCTTTCACAGCAAGACCAGCAAATAAACGTGTATGCCTTTTGCATTGTAGACAGCAATAAAAACATATTGAGGAACAGGTTTAAATATTCTTAAAACAAATAATACCTTACAACACTGAATCCATGAGATCACTTACGGTATAAGCTACTACAGGACATCTGCCTCAGCATGTCCGTAAAGCTGGTATCAAATATTGTAAACAATGTGATGAAAGAAAGATTCAGCACAACTTACCTGTATTATAAATAGCTTATGAAAGAAAAAATAACAGTGTGAACTGAAAAAAAGCCTATACGCCACTACCCCTGATCTCTGCACAAAATTCTGACTCAGCTGCTTGACCTAATTTAATGCAACCAAAATATGCTCTAGAGAGAGGACAAAAAAAACCCCCACATATTATGGACAGCCGTACCTTCTTTTACAGACAAGCAATCGAAGAACAGCACTCTCCAGTCTGAAAACTGAGCCAGTGAGTAAACTGTGAATATTCAGTTGAATTACTGTCTTCTACTTATTGATCTGCATATTAAGTTCATGCAGGCAGAGGAGTGGAGATGTGGATGGCTAGACTGATTTTTCTCCAGTACCTGACCTTGATCAGAGCAGGAGTGTAATTAACCTGAAGTACGACATGCCCAAGTGAGCAGAAGGTCAGTGCACACTTGGGGAGACCATCAACTCCAAGAGCTCCAGCTGAGGTGAGCAGTCCTCTCCTTCACAAATCAACTTCACAAGCCCTTGTTTCTGAAGGTCCGTGGAAGCAAAATAGTTACCCTCTCACAGGCTTTTGCAAGTCTCACTGGTTAAGAAACAGTTGCAGCTAATCGTCTTGCCAGGATTTAATTAACATAGGAGTGAGTTACTCGTAAAAGGGTGTGCTGCCTAGAGCCTCCTTATCTGAAGGATTTCAGTCGCTGTTGTTATTTATAATGTCCTGCTTATCTGACACAGTTTTGGTGAAGAACAGGTTGTATAACCTAAAGGTGTATGAACTATAACTGCCCCATTTGGGCAGGCTCATGTCCACAGAGACTGTCGGTGCTGGTGCTGCTCTGGGCTGTCCCACAGCTGTAGTAACAAACTGCTGCTGTTCTGACCTGATCCAAATCCTGTTCCGCTTTTCTGTGGCAGATGAGTGAGCAATAATAACTCTAGGAAAGCTAAAGCGTGCTTCAAGTTAAAGTAAAGGACTACCTTCATAAAACGAACGATGTTCATCTCTGCTTGCAAGTCCATGCAGGGAGCCAAGTGGATGCAAGCTGCATCTCGCCAGTAAAAGAAATCTTAGAATCCCAGCTCCCACTGATATACAGTCATTTTTAGCATCTACCATTCCTTCCATTTTCCAATCTATGTTTCCTCTTACAGAGACCTTTATTCTTTAGCATAAAGGAGATAAAGATGGCAGATCTTTTAAACAGTTGGAGGACTTGAAAAATGTTTCCACGTGTGAAAAGGAATGAAAAATCCTCTGCACTTCTCTAGAGACACAGTTTTAACATCTCACTGAAAAAAAATTTCAGTGAGGCCAAGGTGGTACAGGATTCAAGGTCAATATGACAGTAATCTAAGAAAGGACAACTGCTTAAAGTAGAAGCGATGCTAAAACAGTGCTGCTCATTTTCCCAGTGTCTGTTCAGAAGCAGTTCTGACACTGCTCAAGCTTGGCTCTCACCCCATCAGAGCCGTTTTTAAGAGGTACAATATTTAATTCAAGATGTCTCAGGAGAAATATGGCACCATAAATTCTTTAATTACAACTCCTATAGTCCCAAAAACCTCTTCCAGTCCAATTCTCACAGGTCTTGTCTTATGATACCTAAATGCAATTAAAGGTTACACCCATTTGTGCTAAAGCTTCCTTTGCAGAGCCACCATGAACAAGTACCCATAAACAGTTTACTAGAATGCAGGATTTTCTGTGCTTTGTAATACACAAACTTCTGTACAGCACCTAGTAAAACTCACTGTTGCCAAGTATTGCTGTTATATAAATATTTAAAAAATATATAAGTAGTACATAAATACTCTTTTGGGTGGCTTCAGAAAATTTTGAAACAGTTCATACAGACTAATTGTTCTTCCTACAAAATAATTGCTTATCTTACTAGATACTACGGGCGAAACCCTGGGTCCATTTAACGTCATTGTTAGCTCAAGTAGCTCACTTTCAGTGAGATCATAATATTACCTCATAAATACAAGGCTCCACAGGAGAGGAAAAAAAAAAAGTAAAACATCTTAAATGAATGAATTAAAATAACTCTATAAAGATACAAAGTTATACTGTGAAGATTCTGTGAGTTTCCAAAGTCGCAGGAACTGCAACGATGGGAATTGCCTCTTCCTAAACAGGAGATATTGGAAGCCTTTGCTTATTAATGAAATCCAATCAGAAATTATCCAGCCACACTTTGACTGAAAACAGATTTGATACGAATTTTTTCAAACTAAGAAGGCGATCTGTTATGGCAAATCTGCTTTTTCAGTTTGTTTCAGGCTAATGCGGTAGAGCAAAATCACCCAGGAGACTGAACTGTTAAACTGAACCCTAAGGAAGATGGATTAATGGAAATAGGATTATGAGAATAGGAACTGAGAAGACTGCTTATCATACAGGCTCTATAATCTTTCTTACAGATAGTGCTATCATACTTTTATATAATAATTATGTGTAAACATTCAAAGATAAATGAGAAAAAGCACTTTACAATTCTTATGGTATAGATGACAAAAACATTAAAAATGCTTTTGCTAATAGCCAGCATTGGAAATTTTGATGGGTTTTGGTACTTTTTAGATAACTAAGTTCCATAATCTGAACCAAAACACAGTGAGTCTATGTATTTGAACACAGGAGTTTCCATAGAGATAAATTGCTGATAAAACCATTAGATTTATCACTTTCAGGTGACGCAATAAAAGACCTTAATTTGGTTAAGTGCACAGTTCAGGCTCCCACATCACATTTTACTGCTTACTGCTGTCATTTAGTTAGTTTATGGAGCCTGATTTGCTTTCCACTGTCTCTCAGAAACATACTGGCTTCTTGGCTTATCTTGCTGTGTTACACGTGGCAGTGCATGCAAACAATACTTTGTGCATGTGTAATGGCATCCTAACAAATAAATGAATGCAAAGATAAAATCATCTGCACACAGTATTAGTGCATAAAAGCCATTTATTCACTGACAGTTCATGCACTTTATCTTTAATGACTGACTAGAACCTCTCTCTGTTTGGCAGTTTCATGCCCAATCTGTCACAAATGCAATTTCACTCAAGATGCTGCACTAGCAAGAAACTACGACATTTATTAGTTAAACAGCGCTAGCAGTATATTAGCACCCACAAATAGTCTTGAGCCCAGCACTGTGCAACCAGAGAGCAAAACGACACTCAAGATGTTCACAGTGTGAGTTTCAGTTTACCACTTTCAACTCTGCTGACACATTAAGGTGACCACTGATGTTCTCACCCCTGAGTTCCTCCTCCCTGCTTGACTAACAGCTTGTGTTTTGAAACTTCCCTAAATCATGTTGTGTCAAGGTGATGTTATACTACGCCATATAATGCCATGAATACCTCTGAAGACCCCTCTCTTCACTGAGGCTGAACTGAGAAGCAAGATCTGCTGTACAAATGGGTATTTCTATCAGCACAGTGACATTGAGGGCATCATCCTGCACAGCTGAATAAATGTGCACGGCACCCATAAACTAAATGTTTGCAGAGAAATTTCCTTTCAAAATCCCCCATGAATTGCCACTTCTACTGTGGAGGCTAAAACCGCACAGAAAAAGATATTTAGAGAAGTTTTCACCACAAGCTGTTTTCCATCACCTTAAATTCTGCATTTTCTTAATGAGTATGACTGATCTGCAGTGACCTGCATGGATTTTCTAAGTTGATATGTCTTAGTTACAGGCACCATGCTTAAAGAAGTATTGTTTAGTTTTGGAAAACTCAAAATTTCGATATCTGCAAATGAGCAACACCTGTAGACACTGTATGCCCCAAACCAGAAACATGAAACAAGAACTCAAATTAAAATGTAGGCCTCCCCACTCATATTAGTGAGTGCATGGCACATTATGTTGATATAGACAACAACATGTAATAAAACATATATGGACCAATAAAATACCAGTAGCAAGAAAAATAATTTTATATTCTACCAACACTTATCTATGGTAGGCTCTTAGTGTAGCCTAAGTAACATCTTTAGCAGGCTATTTAGTTTAAAAAGCACAAGGGAGACTTTAAATGTCAAAATTGTTTATTATTTCAATATTGACCACAGTAACAAGTGATGTGCCATGTAGGTATCTATGAGTGACACCTTATGTTTGAGAGAAGGTGAAATTTGTATTTCTAGTTAAGGTCAGGAATTTTTCTTAGTTTTTTTCAAACTCTTAAAGAAGATAGCTAAACAGTCATAGAAATTTACTGATACTCAATTTGTGTGAGAACCCAAAACTTCATTTTCTAATCACAAAGGAAAAGGTGATCTTTGTCTTAACAAGAACACTGAATTTCTAGAAAGATGTTGAACAATTAAAGATAGTCCAGGAGGTGTCAGGAGTTTTTAAAACGTAACAAGAAAAAAAATTTACAATGTGTCTAACCAGCAAGAGGAATATGAGAAACCCCCAAGAAACTACATAGAGGAGGGAGGAAAATAACAAGGGGCAAGGGAAAGAGTTAGGACAAATTCCATGAAATTGGTGATAAGTCAGATGTGTGATTTACCAATTTGATTTTGCCAAAGCAGTTTAGAAAAATATGCTGATAGTATTGACTGTATAAATTCCCTTACTGGAATTTAGAGAAAATCTAAATGGAGAAACACAGTTCATTTTATACCCAAAGTAGTATAATTGCATTAAGAAAAAGGAGAAGCTTGTTTTCCCACCTGTATGATGGTACCTGACTGATTTATCCACAAACATATTTAAGGTATCTTATGATGACGTTGGTGGAAGAAATGCTGTTTTATTCTTAAAGAAGTGTAACACATTCTATCTAAATTCCTTATGAATCCTTAACTTCACAAGCCTTCTCCACAACCTTCCCCCCTTCATCCCACATTGGCATGAAGTACTGAGACCATTCAACAGAGCCGCCCTCTCATGTGACAAATTTCAATGCCAATGGGAGAGAGAGAGAGACAGACAGACAGCTTCAGGGTTGTGACACTAGACAAGTGTTCATACATTTGGAAACTGAGAGCTGCCCAACTTACTCAGTTCTTCGGAGTGAACCTCTGGGGGCAGGGAAAGATGGCTTGGAGGAAATTTCTGCCTTTGAGGAATCAGAGACAGTTTACTCTCAAAATATGATGTGCTAGATTGTGTCTCATACAAATTCTGTTAAAGTGATCATCAGATCTGGTGTGGGGAAGGTATACATCTCCAGCTCAGACTGACAGGGAACACCAGGAGTTTCTATTTTCCTCTAGAAAGTTGTCTACCAAAACTCCTGCTACATCATTTTGAGCTGAGAAATTGCAGAGCTACTGCTTCAACCTGTAAGGTTACTCACTCGGTGGATACAACATATAAAACCTTACAAGTATTTTCCAGTAGTAATGCACATAGATGAACACTTAATAACATCCCTAAACTACCACTTAAATTCATTCCTATACACAGTGCATACAAAGTCTCACTGGCAGTATCATAAAGATACTTCACAAATTAGGATCAACTACCTAAACAAACATTTTCATTTATTTCTAAAATTATTAGCTTTCAGAAAGGAAAAGAAGAAATACATCTTGCATAGATGAGAACAGTGTGTGTGTGTGTTCAAGTGAGAGTACCACAAGGCTGCGGTGTTCTTCTCTGTCATAAATTTTCTGCTGAGAAAGATAAAACTGATAAATAACTTGTGGTTCTCTAATTTATTCTTCTCACTAAGGATAGTAAATGCTAGTTTAGAACTTATTCTCTATATTACACTTACATCTGGGAAAACACTGATGAATTGCCCATGATTTCTTAGATGCTTTCTGAGCAATTTCACCTACTTGTAAACTACTGAACCTTATAAGTGGTAACAGACATGCTTTCATCTGCAGCACTGGCTATTAACTGAAGTCAAGCCAGATTGTTCTGGCAGCAGGCTTTGTAACAAAGAAGTATGTTTCAGAACTACTTTTAGGTTTGATACAATCCACTTTTTCAACACATATTTCCACTGTATGCTAACGTTTCTATGGAGAACAGAAGTAGACAGTCTCGAACGGCGCAGAATGAGAATGGAAAAAACTGAAAGGACTGCAGTATGTAGTCATACCAATAAAAGACATCCTCTTGATATCACAATTTTGGATTTTCATGAGATGGCTGGCTCGGAGTCAATCAACCCAGCCATTGCATTTTAATTTTTTTTTAATAAAAAGATGTTTGCATGAAATATACCAAACTCCACACAACCCTCTTGAGAATGATGGTACTATCAAAGCACTGTACACATTGCCTTGTTGAACACTCCTTTTACCCACCATTGTTCAACACTTCAACCACTGGCAACAGCTCTGTTCTATTAAAAAAAAGTCCTATGAAGACAGGCTGAGAGAGTTCGGCCTGGAGAAGAGAAGGCTCTGGGGA